TTCCGCTGTAGTAGTCGCGTATGTAACAGTAACTAAGCCAAGGCGAATTCCATGGGCACATTCGAAAGTTTATATTTGGAATTTTAATCATGGCGTGCAAAAATTATCAGTTATCACAAAAACCACATTTATCTGGCAACCAGGGCCTTTCAGACGACTCAAAACGAACATAGCTGATGGCTTTTATCATTCTTTGGTGTAGGCCACAATATTTTATGCTATCAATTCAATTAAGTTTGAATTTCATATAGGAATTCGAAATCCAATGCCTAACTTCATATTTTAGAACGTAAGTCTGGTTTAGTGAAACAAACTTTTCAGACGCAAAATAACTACTCCTACTCTTCTCAAAGTAGCTTCAATATACAGAGCTGAAAAACAGTACATTTTGCAATCAAATTTTATGTGCTATTCTTCACTTCAAACCTTTACTGAACTGTTTGAATTTCACTTTGATAAACTATTACATACTAGCTTCCGCACATAGTTCAGCAATACTAAACTGCCATCATATATGCCTGCACAAACGTACGTTCTCAGAATGCTTTTGAAAATAGCCTGTATGTATGAAGAAAATAATAAGCTCTGTTCCTTAGTAAAGTGAAAAGGATTCGGATAGGTTAGAGGTGTACGACACCAGTGTCCAAATCTATAATATAATGTTCCCGGAGTCACTTAAAAAAGTAGGCAATAATGGTTGGTAAAAACACTTCATTCTGTTGTATGCGGAGGTAACTGAACGTTTAACTTCTGAGGGAGAGGAAGTGTGTTTAGTAATCAGTTAAATATCATCTAGTATGACTGATTGATTGTTTTTAGCTAGTAGTGTTTCCATTTGATAATTGAAAGTGTTCAAATTAACATGCTTACTGAGAATCCCCGAAATAATGCCATTTAAGGCAGGTAGAACTAGATGAGCAAAAATGAATGTATTATGCTTGTAGTTGGTAATAAGCAGGTAGTGAAGTACAAAGGAATCATTAGTTCGTACCAATAAAAAAATTATGTAAACTTAAAAGATATGACCAGGGCTGTATCGAAAGAAACACTAAATTCCAAGTAACACAAAGTATATACCTCAGATACTCAGGATTTGACAATGCTCTTGTCCGCAATGCCTTTAAAATCAAACGATACCAACCCAATCAATTAGGAAGTCAAAAATGAATGAATTAGAAGATATATTTGGGAGGTTGTCGATAAGTTGATAAGCGTTTGGTGTAAGCTGATTAGTAAATGTGAGAGACTCGTAGCACGGCCTACAAACTCGTGATCTTGTGACAATGCGTGACCGAGCATCCTCATCCAGGGTGTGTCCAGTAAAACTACTGAGGTCACAATCAGTGTCGAAGACTTTCAGGACTATTCGTTTTGGAGATTTATTTACCGCTACACTTTTTTCTAATAACAAGACAATAAAGACTAAAGTCTGTAACAATAATTTAATGTACACCAAACTAGGTTTTTGTGAAGTTGGGCTGACATCCGTTTCTTTTTTTCTAGATATCCCACAGACTCAACGAATGCATTCAGAATGCTAGCTAGCACTGACTAGTGAGAGTTTTAAGAGGATTGATGAAAGTGTTCTACTGTCATAAATTTCCAGGTCAAACTCACCACAATATTTCAAGAAAATATCGTAACAATTATGATGGTATTACTCATAATTTATCACTTGCTTAAGGACTATCTTAATATAACCTTAACCGCAAAATTATTTTACTTGCCCACAATATCCTTATAGTGTTCCAAAAAGAGAAGGATATTGAGTGCTAACTCAGCTATCGGTACTTTAACCATAACTTCTATAAAAATAACTCCTGTGAGCTTATCCTAGCTCTCAGTTATACATTAAAAATTCAAATACTTTTGGACTCCTGAACCATTCTCACTATCCTAACAACTCATTCCACCTTCACCCTCACATGAGGTGATATATATTTAAATAAACCAGTCTCTTTAGTTAACATACTTAGAAGGCATACAATGCTATTATAGTCTGTAATGATTCACCTGTATCTTCATATACATATATTCATTTTTGTGCAAATGCATGTTTGATTGGTTGCATGTGACAGCTTATGCATATATTCCTTTTACTAGCTGAAATATTGCTTAAAACGCTCGATGATTTATTTACACGCCCCTATATATTGACTTCTTAGACTACATCAAACAACTTGTCTCTTGCATTATGTGCTTGCTAGTCACTTGATTCGAGCTATGTTTAAATTAAGTTGTTGCCGCAACTTCGTTTTGCCTTCTGGAAATTTTACAACACCGAAAATTGCAGTAATAATGGTTCTCAGGTTGATTTATGTATGAAGATATTCCACAAAAAAATGTTCTATTCATAAGGTCTTATACACTTCAGCAAATGTGTCTCTTTTATTCGTGTGCGTTTCAGCTTTATACTTATATATATTGTATTTGGTTGTGCGTATCTGTATACTTATATTATTCAGCTCATGTTTCCTTAGTCATACTATTTATTTTCTATTTTGAGTTTGATTAAAGCTCGTAACGAGTAATGTTCTGAGTAGGTACGTTTATGCTTATCTAGTTCATGTTTCTTATTTTCTGTTCGTATTAGACTTATATTATTCCGTTATTTACACAAGTGATTAGGTTGACGAATGCATGAAAAATTAATTATTATAACTGTTCGTTCTGTAGCACATAACTAAATACATTATAAACGATAAAGGCCGAACAATTGAATACCATCCTTGATGTGATCATGAGCTAATGAATGTCAGACCACCATTAGAAACCTGGAAACACTAGACGACCTTTTCGTTCCAGTGCAGGACTCCTCAGCAGTGCACAGCCATGATCCCACACGCGAGGTTTGAACCCAGAACACTCGGTCTCGCATCTGAACCTCGAGACCACTGAGCCGGTATCCAACGGTGTTAATGTTCCATACTAGGACGAAATGGCCGTCCAGTGATTCCAGGTTTTCAATGATGGTAGAATATTCATCAGTTCATGATCTCAAGCAAAAGCCCAACAATCTCCACAACCCCATACTGATAAGAAAATATAAATTTCCTATTTAATCCCGTATATTATACTTGGGCTAATTCCGTAAGGCAACAGTGGTAATAAATGCCAAATGTGAATTAAGACGGAAGAATTTCATTTCAGACATTCATGCTTAAACAGTAAGAAGACATGAGATAAAAATAGAAGAATGAAAACAAGCCTACTCAGCGAATAACAGATGACTCATACTTTACATAGAAATGAATAATGCATAATTTGCTGATAACTAGTTACTTTATGGATGACAAACATAAAACAAACACGTAAAAGCGCACATGACTTAGTTAACAAATTCACAGATTACGAAGTAATTCAAAAGGATTTAAGATACCTGACTAGACTAAAATGATTCATTCAATCTCTAAACGAAATAGACGATCTAGAGGTGTGGTGGAAGCTGCTATAATTCCCCGTCGATATCAGTTATAGTCAATTAAAACTCACTAAACTTTTTTAACTTTAGATAAACATTTTAAGTGTGTTTATTTATAGGTTGCACGTTTATAAATGTTGTTACTATACGAATGATATGATTGCTTTTTTCTTGTCAAGCAAAACAAAAAAATTAACATTTTAAAACTTTCTCTGAACGGTAGATTTATTACTTAAATTCTGTTGTAAAGCTTGAAAGGAATCTAAAGTACAAAAGTTTGGTGATCTTACTCATTGCTTATTATCATTCTAACAAAGTATATTTTAATTGTTTTTCTTTGAAAACATGAAAATGTTAAGGCAGATCAAAAAGCTTATAGAGTCACATTTCTTTATCTAAAATAAAATTCATACTTAAGCCTAGTTAATTTTTGTTCAAATTATTAAACACAATTTCACTAAAGAAAGTTAGATATAAGATGTATGACAGTTTTCAATGATTTAAACATCTATTAATTGAAAGTTAACGGAAACTATTATTTCCACCTCCAGTTATCCTAGAAGCAGATGATCTGGCCCTTCTATCCCAAACGCAACAACAAATGCAGGAGAAGACGAACAGTGTGGCAGCAGCCTCAGCAGCACTAGGTCTCAATATACACAAAGGGAAAAGCAAGATACTCTGATACAACACAGCATGCACCAATCCAGTCACAATTGACCGAGAAGATTTGGAAGATGTAAAAACCTTTACATACGTGGGCAGCATCATTGATGAACACGGTGGATCTGTTGCAGATGTGAAAGCGCGGATCGGAAAAGCAAGAGCAGCATATTTACAAGTGAACAACATCTGGAACTCAAAACAACTGTCAACCAACATCAAGGTCAGGAATTTCAATACAAATGTCAAGACAGTTCTACTGTCTACTGGGGCGGAAACCTGGAGAACTACGAAATCCGTCATCCAGAAGATAAAAGTGTTTAATGACAGTTGTCTACGCAAAATACTTCGGATCCGTTGGCCAGACACTATTAGCAACAACCTACTGTGGGAGAGAACAAACCAGATCCCAGTGGAGGAAGAAATCAGGAAGAAGTGCTGAAAGTGGATAGGACATACATTGAGGAAAGCACCGAACTACGTCACAATGCAAGCCCTCACATGGAACCCTGAAGGCCAAAGGAAAAGAGGAAGACCAAAGAACACAATACGCCGGGAAATGGAGATAGACATGAGAAAAATGAATAAGAATTGGATAAAACTGGAAAGGAAGGCTGAATACAGAGTGGGTTGTAGAATGCTGGTCGTCTGTCTATGCTCCATTAGGAGTAACAGGCTTAAGTTATCCTAGAAGTGGAAATTCATCATGAAACTTCATATCATTCATGATTTATTAATTCCTATGATTTATCCAGTGTTATTTTCTCACAGTAAGAAACTAAAAACCTAATTTGTTTTATACGGATATAGCCCATATAAACTATAAGAATTTTCTCAAAAATGTGTTTAGAAGGTGATATTAGATTTATTTAAGTAGTATATGGAGATCCCTATCTTGTGAGTATATAGTTTTTATCGTGTATCAATATAAATTGAAAGACTATTTAAATCTATGCAAAATTGAATCTCTCTTACTTTCTAACTTTAGAATTCTCGATTGTGTCCACTTAATAACCTACATGGATCAAGCTGAAAAATTGTTATCACAATGTGAGTATCAGATCATTCAAACAGTACGCTAATGTACAATTCATTGTTTGGAATGGAAATCATTCGGTGCTGTTATTATTTGACTATCTCACTCATTACTGATTCAATTTCACAGAAATTTGAAAAAGCAATCAACTAGTAACTGATTTTGAAAAAACTTTCAGCTTTATCTAAACTGAATAACATTATATCGAAAATGCAGGGATTCAAACAATAAGTTTATATATAAATTGAATAATTTGTAACGTATGAAAGATACTAGACGTAAATGTTTAGTAAGTAAAACAACGTACACGTCTAAATACAGACTGATAAAATACAATTATTGAAATAAATTGGTTGGATTAAGATAACAGGTTCATCATTCGATAAGTTGATCAGTAATTTAAAGTATTGTATTATCTATAATGATCAACTCCAACTACTTGAGTTTCATCATTGCTTAAGCACAAGACGAATATCATGACCACAGCCATAGTGAAGATAGATATACTCACAATGATGTATGTCAAACTTTCGTTATCATCACTGGAACAATGCGATTCTATTTAAAAGTGAAGACATGGAACGTAAAACTGAATTTAAAAATTAAAATACCATTTACTTGTATTAAATTTCGTATGGTTTTCAAGATATTGTTCGTAAAAGATTACATCACAGAACACTGCATTACTCAATTCATATGTATGGGTGAACAAACAAACACAGAGAAGAGTGATGGAACGTTCCTACGACTAAAAAGGCTTTGGTAGTCAGAAAACTCAGACTACCTTTATGACCATGGATACAGATTGCTCTAATATTGATTCTACCCTGATTCTCTATTCTTAGTCACAGAGTGACTACAAATAATATTTTCCATACCATATTATACATTTCCATTATTCGTTTCCAATCAATACTTTGTTTACTAAATGTATATTTAATCGGAGGTCATTGTTTTTATACATAAATGCCATATCAAGTACACATGTGGCCAAACTTTCAAATTTATGACAGATATGTCACATTATTGTAGATCAACCCTATCTTATTATTACCCTATAGAAAAGGGATTATTGGAAAACTATCGATAAAAAGCACTTTTAGATTATTTTGTGCAATTAAAACTAACCTTTGCCAACGTAACTAGTTCCAGGACTTTCCCGAAAGGCTTCGACTTCAAGACTTTTGAATATTAAGCGTACTGTACTATAATTTCGGTCCGAAGGGTGAAGTTCAATTTTTATTGCTTTAGTACAATTGTAATATTGATCTTTTTGAACAGAAAATACTTGATCGCTTGATGATGAATAAATTTCCTCTAAAGGAGTAAACGTATAATAAAAATTCATAAGGTCAATGAGTTTTAAAGTCAAGACGTTATTTGTTAAGATTGAGTAAACTGAAAGCACCAATCAGATTTCCTAAATAACAGTTACTAAATGATGATTGGCTACTTGCTTTTCTACGAATGTCTTGGAGTTAGGATAGGGATTTATGCTAAGTAGAATAAATTATATATCAATTGTGACAGATAACCTCTAGCAACAGATAAAAGTTTATTTTTGGAGAACTGACTTAAACTGTAAAGACTAATCACTGGATTAAATAAACTCAGTGGCAGAGCTTAATGTGATGGTCGTAAAGTGCGGACGTTCTAGCTTCAATCAAATATTTAACAGAAGACATTAATTATACAGTATTCATAAAGTAGACTAAATCAATTGTATTGTGTTTTTAAATTTTTAAATGAGATAGGAAAATCTTAGACGTGCTTTTGAGTCATTTCTAAGATTATCGATTAGGACAATTATGATTTGGATAATGACGTAAGGGATCGATACCAGGTACTGATTTGATATAAAACAGATTATTGAGGTAACTTGTTGTATCATATTTAGTTCATCTTACATCTTCAGAAGTTCATATGTTCAAACACAATTAAAATGAGTAGAATGTATGAGAATACAAAAAAATTATTTTACAATGATAATTGTACGACAGCTTTTGCGATTAATGTATTTCTGGTATTTTTGATAAACGACAACATGAATGAACAATTCGGTTTCAGTTTCAGTTTGGCAACGACAGGAGGCCTGATGGCCTGTGTTAGTGAATGAACAATTCATCATTTTTTAAAATTAATTCTTATATGATGAACAGAATTGATTCATTTTAACTTTCCAAGAAAAGATATCATAGTTTTATCATTATGGTGGCTGTGAAAATTACTGACACACTGTTGGGTTATTGATCATGAACCGATCTAAGTTAGATAATTGTTTGAAACCTGGAGGCCCTGAACTGTTGGTTCATCGTAGTATAGGACTTCGCAGGGGCGTACATCCGCCAGTGGAGTTTAATCTTTTTGGGTATGAGAAAGGTATCAGCTGAATACAATGGATACTGCTCGCACAATATCGCGATTGATTAAAGTATGGCATGTACACCGATGGATACTGGCCCAGTGGTCTAGAAGTTAAAATGGGAATTTCCACTATGTTGTAAAATTATTTAAAACAATTAAGTATTTTGTAGTAACAAAAGCTTTAACTATTCTGATGTACTTCATAGTAAGCTGATGACTATGCTGATAATATATACCTTTGACGTTTAAAGCGATGAGTATTGAGCTTGAATTATAGTAAGAATATCAATTCTACTATAAGTATATCAAACTAAAAATTGAAATATAATGAAACAAATGCTGCATATTGTTGTGACTTTAGGCTCGGCTAGTTATCATGTAATTTATTCGCCTTATTCACTCTTAGTACTGGCCCTTTGTTCGCCTAACCCGTCCATTTGAGTCCAGAACGCCAACAACAGCTTCCACTATGCGAATCATTTATTTCAAACATACTTGGTTTATATACCAGCCAAACAAACCGCATCACTTCATAAAATATAACATTTATACAAAATCAAGCGAAAATGTGGCTGAGAACGTGGGAGGCTATAATCAATAAACTGAACATAACTTAAGAACAGCAAATCGTATAATAATGATCTATAGGTCGAAATGAAGCTTATAATAAGTGGAATATAGATATACATAACCTGGTTACTAAACGGTTATCCAATAAGAATATATATATATAATATTGGCCCATTAACAGTTCTCAGAAGTTACTCGTAGTTTAATTTTCGCTAAGATATAACATATATCCCACTGCTGATCACTATTTATAATTTCTGATCACTTATTATTCTTTCATTATTAAACTCAGAAAATGAATTTTAAAAATTCTTACATAATGTCTATAAACGTCTTGAACTTAAACACTATCAGCCATGATATTAATTGGTTTAAACACGTAGGTAGTTTTCTAGCACACATATACAAATAAAATATATAACCTACCATCATTCAATACATAATTAAAATTAGTTGAATCAAATGTATAATAATCATTTGCGTATAATTTGAAAATAAATGTTAACAGCCATGGAGATTTTTGACTTAAATTTATCCATTTCACTGATAAATGAGTTAAAGTAGAATCACAGAATCCAGAAAATTCGATATTTTTAGTTGTAGAATCCAAATGGGATGTAATATTTTCCTTTGATCCCTAGATTAATGAAAAGTTAGACAGGAAATATTATGATTAAAATGCAAGATATTAATAGAATATAAACATGCAAAATACAAGAGATTTAAATACATCTTACTGATTGTATAAACCTAATGAATACAAAATGCATTAACTAATAATTATTATTGCACAGAGATTACTTATTACTTACGCCTGTTACTCCCAATGGAGCATAGACAGACGACCAACATTCTCCAACCCACTCTGTATTCAGCCTTCCTTTCCAGTTCTATCCAATTCTCATTCATTTTTCTCATGTCTATCTCCATTTCCCGGCGTAATGTATTCTTTGGTCTTCCTCTTTGCCTTTGACCTTCAGGATTCCATGTAAGGGCTTGTCTTGTGACGCAGTTCAGTGCTTTCCTCAATGTGTGTCCTATCCACTTCCAGCACTTCTTCCTGATCTCTTCCTCCACTGAGATCTAGTTTGCTCTCCCACAGTTGCTTGTTGCTAATAGTGTCTGGCCAACGGATCCGAAGTATTTTGCGTAGACAACTGTCATTAAACACTTTTATCTTCTGGATGACGGATTTCGTAGTTCTCCAGGTTTCCGCCCCAGTAGACAGTAGAACTGTCTTGACATTTGTATTGAAATTCCTGACCTTGATGTTGGTTGACAGTTGTTTTGAGTTCCAGATGTTGTTCAGTTGTAAATATGCTGCTCTTGCTTTTTCGATCCGCGCATTCACATCTGCATCAGGCCAACATGTTCATCAATGTTGCTGCCAACATATGTAAAGGTTTTTACATCTTCCAAATCTTCTCGGTCAATTGTGACTGGATTAGTGCATGCTGTGTAGTATCAGAGTATCTTGCTTTTCCCTTTGTGTATATTGAGACCTAGTGCTGCTGAGGCTGCTGCCACACTGTTCGTCTTCTCCTGCATTTGTTGTTGCGTTTGGGATAGAAGGGCCAGATCATCTGCGAAGTCTAGATCGTTCAGTTGCATTCTAGATGTCCATTGTATCCCGTGCTTCCCTTCAGATGTTGATGTCTTTATGATCCAGTCGATCACCAGGATAAAGAGAAAGGGTGAGAGTAAGCAACCTTGCTTGATACCGGTCTTCACTTCGAACGAGTCTGTCAATTGTCCTCCGTGCACGATTTTGCAGTGTAATCCATCATAGGAATTCCGTATGATATTGACTATCTTCTGAGGCACACCACAGTGTCGAAGAAGTTCCCATAGTGTTGTCCTGTCCACACTATCAAATGCTTTCTCGTAGTCAATGAAGTTGATGTAGAGTGATGAGATCCATCCAATTGATTGTTCCACAATGATCCGTAGAGTTGCGATTTGGTCTGTGCACGATCGATGCTTACGGAATCCAGCCTGTTGGCCTCGGATTTGGTCGACTACGGAGTCCTTCATTCTGTTTGACAACACCCTGTTGAAGACTTTTCCTGGTATTGAGAGGAGAGTGATGCCCCTGTAGTTATCACAGTTGGTGAGATCGCTTTTCATTGTTATTTTGATCAGGCGTCCTTCTTTCCATTCTGTTGGTACTTGTTCCTCATCACAATTCTTATTGAAAAGAATTCGGAGTATCTTTACAGTTACTGCTACATCTGATTTCAATGCCTCTGCCAGAACGTTGCGTAATCCTGTTGCTTTGCAGCTCTTGATTTGCCTGATGGCCATGCTGATTTCTTCAATTGTTGGTGGGTCAACATTGATTCGGAGGTCCGTGTGTGCTGCTTCGATGTTGGGTGGGTTCAGTGGGGCTGGTCGATTCAGGAGTTTTTTGAAGTGCTCTACCCACCTGTTTTGCTGTTCATCAATGCAACTCCTTTGGTATGTGGAGCATTTTCCTCTTCATGGTCAGAGTATAACAAAAGCTCTCCTGAAGCTAGTCGTTGTTGTCCAACTTGTGTCCAATATGTTTCACTGATCCCAAGCACCTTCAGGTTGTATTTCCTCATTTCTGCAGCAATTTGGAAGACTCTCCCAGTCTCCCACATTGTGCGAGATTTCCATGTATCTAAATAAATGGTTGCTCTAATTGTCAGAAGGGGAATCGGACTTTCGAAGGAACTCGGTTTTCATCACGAAGCGTCATAACTCTCCTAAATGAAGACCTTCTGATTCCCAGGGCAGAGTTTAAGTGGCTTGAATAATTTTTCCTGATTAGCGTTTTTTAGTGATTTAGTTTTCTACGGGATGGGGTCGTTAACCCCATGCCCAACCCTCTTTCTTCATCCGGGCTTGGGATCGTCAGTAACCCCAGAGGGGCTCCAGATGGAGTTGCACAGAAAGTGAGTATATTACTTACTTACTTACGCCTGTTACTCCCAATGGAGCATAGGCCGCTGACCAGCATTCTCCAACCGCCTGGAGTCCCTCCGGGGGCTACTGCCGGTCCCAAGCCCGGATAAAGGAGGAGGGTTGGGCATGGGGTTAGCGTCCCCATCCCGTAGAAAACTAACTCGCTAAAAAAACGCTAACCAGAAAGTGAGTATATACAAATAATTTATAACTAAACGAAAGCGTTTGCGCTGGTCATAAATAAGAATTTCTATATTAACACACTCAAATATATCATAATAAAATAAACTAAGACTGATTAAGTGGATTTGTCATCTTTGTCTACTAATTTGTAAGTAAATTTTCTATCGCACTTGTGAGCTCTTCATTAATATGCTAGTGATAAATGTTCAGTATTTTCGGTTATCGATAGTAAACTATTAATATAAATTCTATTAATATTGAAGAACATTCAGAACTCAAAACAACTCTCAACCAATATCAAAGTCACAGTCTTCAATACAAACGTCAAGACAATTCAACTATACGAAGCTGAAACTTGGAGAACTACTACAACCATAACAAAAAACGCACAAGAATTTACAGACAATTATCTCTACGAGATGCTTCAAATCCGTCGGCCGGATACCATCAGCAATCGCCTGCTCTGAGAGAAAACAAACCAGCTTCCAACTGAAAAGTAAATTAAAAAAGGACTTTGGAAGTGCATAGGATACATATTAAGGAAATCATCAAAGTGGGTCACGAGGCAAGCCCAAACTTGGAATCTTGAAGGAAAAATGAGAAGTGGAAAACCAAGGAACACATTGCGTTAGATTGAGACAAACATCAAAAGCATGAATAATAGCAACAGGAAACAACTGGAAAGGATAGCTCATAACAGATTTTGCTGGAGAATGCTGGTCGGTAGCATATACTCTACAAAGGGTAACTGGCATAACAGGATCATTAGTTTAAACTATCAAGTTTTTTATTCCATAAAAGGGGTAACAAAAAGAAATTGATTTAAGAGGGCACTAAATTTATTTTGTAGCCTAAAAGAATTTACGAGTAGTAAATTGTCTACCACATTATGATTTGATTTTTAAAATCTAAAAATAGAAGATTCCATTCTTTAGTAAGTATTTATGGCTTTTTCTATGGTAATCCACTAAATATGTGAAAAGTGTGATAGAGTTAAGGTAACAAGAAGCTATTAACGAAAAAAAACGACTTCGGAAACATCACTTTTGATTGTATTAGTACTTATTTAAGTTGATTTATTTGAAACAAATAGTAGAATTTCGTTTTCAAAATTAGAGGAGTTCTGAGAAGTAATTTATCTTCCAATATGGATATGAAGATTTAAAGGAGGGTTAAGATATCGATTTAATATTCCGTATGATAAGTTATGACGAACTTCAAATTGATACTTGACCAATCAATGCAATCTAATTGTATATATATAAACTGCGTGATATGATAAAGATTTCTATTACTCTGTATTCATGTAATTTCCATATGTTTCATGATTGTAGAAAACTATAATTTACATGTTAAATTTTATTCATATTGTAAACAATCTTGCTGGAAAACAATAAACTTTCAATGGCTTATGTATATACAATGTGTATTTAATTCATTCAACTTTAAAAAAAGAAATTAACTATTATTCTTTTTTTGTAACCATGAGATCATATGATAAGAATGAAAAACGAAAAGAAGCATTTTAAACATTATCATAAAATATGTTGGTCATTTGATCAAATACATAAATAGGTAGTAGTTGGTTAAACATTAAACCTAATTAAACTATCAAATCTCTTGTAAAACAGTAGTAGACTACGTTAACTCAGATATGCTAATGAAATGACAAATGCATTTATATGCATAGATTTATTAATAAGAATTTGTGAATTTAAGCGTTTTTTTTCTCTTCAAAGAATTTAAATTCTTTCTTTGAAGAATACCTAACATCTAACCGCCATTTCTTAAATAGTGACTGAACATAAAGGTTCTTTTTATGAACGAATAAACCAACTAAAAGAAGCACAACAAGAGAATTTCAGTTTATACAAAGAGTAAAGTTCCCTTTCTGGTACAAATATTTCCAAATGAATAATACTATAGAGAATGAAACATAGTTCCGACGTCTATAGACTGTCATATTCAACCAATTAAGGTCCAGTAATGATCAACTAATTAATATGGGGCACATTATTTTGAGTATATATTTGTATATGATACGTCTGGTAATAGTTGGCTGAAGAAGTATGTTATGTGAATAAGACCTAAATAGTAAATTAACTTTTTGTTAATAATAAAACTTAGAATGATTTAAATCATGAAAAAAACCGGGTCATTTTCTATTCTACATAATGCTATTCGTAGATATAAAAATAAGCTCAAAACACATTCATAGAAACATTTCTATCAAAGTTAGTATTAGAATTGATGATTTTCTTCGTTTCAATTAGTGTCTTTTTGATTTATGAATACCTCTCAGCATCAAAGTCTCCTAATATATTCGGTGCTGATGTAATGTATCGGACAGAATTTTGCTTAAGTGCCGAAGTCGATTTAAATCAAGAATGTGGAATAAAAGCCTGATCATATAGCCAGTAAATTAATTAAAAACCGTCTTAAATACTGTATCATACAATCATATTTTAATCTGTCGCATTTGATAAGTAGATTACGTTTATTTTAAATGAAGATATGCAAAAGAAATCACTTGAAACATGATCGAATCGCTATATGATGTTAAAATGCATAAATCTATTTTACAAAATAGTGAGTTCACAAAGTCAGAAAGCACAAAACAGTTGTTAGTAGAAGAAAGTGAAAAGTCTTTGCTTTTATGGTCAATTATGGCTCTTCTTCACTGTTCATTGGCCAACTAAAAATGAAATTATTTCTATACCAATGTAGTCAACTAATTTGTGATACACAAACCATGAGTTTACATATATTTATGTATTTAGTCACTGACTTTTTATTTTGTAAACTATACGGCTGTGATTAAGAGATAGGTTGGGTGAAGGAATTTATCAGGGTAACCATTATGTTAATCTCGTTGCTTTATCAAATTTTCGAGCCACCATAAATCAAAATATTAGTGAAACCAGCTTTTAGAGCTGGATATCTGGATTTCATGATTGGAATCGTCTCCGATTCATCAATATTCTTATAATTTACCAAGTACTGCATCAAAATAATACATCAATTCACTAATAGTAGTTAAAATTATGATTCAATACATTGTGAAAATGAAAATTTCATCACAGATTTGACGTAATGGGTCATATTAGAGGAACGAGTAGAGATAAAACAGTCATGTAACGTCGCTACGATGAGTTTCACTATGATTTACCTCTGTTATATTTCTTAATAATTAGTTGTTTCTGATTTTGTTATCATTTGTTAAGCTTACTTTTCTATAGGATGGAATAGCTGGTGCATATATTTTTAAATATAGAACTTTCTTTATCACATAACAACAAAGATGATCCATTCAACCTCCATCGATTGAAATAAAATAAAATTGTTAGCTCTGTTAATAATTGTTCGAGGAAAGAAATGCTTTCGAAACAAAGACTACAGGAAAAATAACGATTCAGCCCAACAACAATACATTGAAGTGACCAATCAATTAGTTGATTTGTTTGATATAGATCAAAATAAAATAAAACCCTAGCCACTATCGAATAATACAGTGAGTATTCTATAGGAAATTTGAAATTCTTTTCAGCACTAATTCATAATTATATCTTTTATATGAAATTATAATTTGAACGATGTTTTAGCAACTATCTGATAATTTAATGAAATGCTGAAAAACAGAGAACGTGGAAAAGTTGTCTTACATTAATTTTTTCAAACTAACTTATCCAAAACGTTGATTATTATTTCAAGTTGAAGCCATACCGATACAACCTATTAACATTAAGACTATTGATCAAGAGTTAGTAGACAGTGAATTACCCGATGAACACTATCTACTATATAATATGCAGTAAAGTGCTAAAAAGAACCACATAAGTCTAGTGGATTTCTAAATTTGCATAAACTGCTAACTAACCGTTACGTAAATAACCTTAATATTTCACTGATTCCTATTAGAGATTAGAAGAGCATATAGTCCACCGCCACATAAAGTACAAATTGACAAACTAAACACGTTTTTTTTCTATGGTTAAGATATTTAATATTTTGTCAACCACATATGACATAACTACAATTTACGAAGGTATTACAAAGAAAAAAGAAAAGAAAAAATATCAGACAAACGCACCATCAGGAACAAAGTGAAGTACGGAGACAAATAAACGGATCATCCTATCATGCATAAAAGGGATATCAGAAACCACATCACGATTTTTGAAACCTTTTGAAATAGGTGTAGCACGTAAACCAACAAAACCAAGGCAATCAGTCCTATGCAAACCAAAAGAGGAAATGATAAAAGAAAAACCGTACATCATCTACAAGATAAATTGTTCCAATTGCGAAAAACACTTGATAGAACAAAGTGCAAACCCCCTTTATTTTCACTTGTTTAAACATCAACTAGTGGTCAAACACCACGACATATCCTCGCCTATATCAATGCATGTGGATAACTGTGGACATATATTCGACTGGGAAAATGCTGAGCACTTGGATAGAGGCAATTCTAAAAGCAACAGAGAATTTTCAGAAGCTTAACACTCATATAAATCAACAATCAACAAACCCAATAAAAGTGATCCAAATTATCAAACAATCAAAAAGATTATGGAGAAATATAGAACCAAGAATCAAATCAATGTGAGATACAATCGAAATAAAGAAGTAAACGATGACTAATTTAAGGTCAACAATAACTAATCGACATCAAGGTCTATGAGACAAGCTGTGAATTATATGTGGAGAAATTCGAACATTCCACTTTTACCTGCAGTTTCTGCTGATGATGTTGTTTAGAAGAAAAATGTAAGCTACGCGACGAAATCATCCAGATCAGAGAACAAAACCCCATCAACATCATTTACCTGAGCTACAAATCTTTTCTACCATCTCAAGGAAAAAAGTATTTACGTCATCAATAATTTTGACTATCTTTAGAAAAGACTAACTTATTCATACAATCATAGTATACATTACTCTCAATTTCATTGAATAGGTAAACACAACTAATTATGAAGTAAGCACCTCCAATATCACAATACATCATTATTGTATTTATTATCAATCATTTCAAATAATAACCAAAGTGATTACAATCATGACAATCACAAAGAATGAAAAACAAATAATTTCTCATAGTCTCTCATTGATTACTCTGTATAAAAATAGAATTAGGCAGCACACCACAATGAATCCAACTAAATATCAATCGATTCGAATCGATTGATTTGCAATTTCGTGAGTGATGAAATGCGGATTATTCAACACTGTGACGAATTCGATAATTGCAACAGAAGAAATAAAAGTACTATTTCCCAACATGTTATGACGAGCTCGTATCACAGAATAAAATCTACATTAGTTGGAGTCCCACAAAACTGGTGAACTAAGTGTTACAATTCGGTGAGTGGAATATGTGACACTACATTCATTCTGCTGACAATGAAATAATCAGGTGAGTTGTCTGAAAAGCATTCTTGTGAGAAGACTTTAGGAAAGGATGTTGGGAGTGTCTCAATTCCTGATTTCAGTTGAACAGATCAGTCACATGTGGTACATGTAAGTAACATCCACACTTGAGTGACTTTCAAATGTGAAAACACACAATACTTTACTGAAGGTTGATTAACAAATCGCTGTTTGGAACACAGGTAGATTGTGTTCCGTTAACAACAAGATGAAGTTTATGAAGTTTATGTCTTTGAAGTTCTCACTGTGACCATTTGAAGTTTTTGAAAACTGTTTTTGAATGGCTATGAAACGAAAATCATCAAGAATAATAATTAAAGGTCATCTCACAGTTGATTTGAAACAGTGGATGAAAGTGACTATAAACTTTCATCATACCTGATATGCATATTACAGAGTGAGAGAGAAGAAATGGATACAGAGTAGTGAAACTGCAGTGTTTGTATGAACTAATGGTTCCTTTGTAATTGTTGACTGCCTGATCTCTGATTTCAAATACAGTACGTTCGTTTGTGTTCATCTATTTCTATTTGGTCTAAAGTGCGTTAGTCTGGGATTCCTAGTTCAAATACTTTTAGTCATAGCAGAAACTTATTTGGTAGGCTCATTGGTTCAGTTTTTTTGAGAGTTGGGTTACTCTTATTACGGAGAGATGAAGCTTATTTACTGTTGTACCATTAAAAATCAATAGGTTAATGAACATTTTGATAGCCAACAAATAACAATAGAATGCGACCAATACAACTGTTTCGTATTCCAAATTTTAATGAACTTATGTGGTAATTAGTCAAGAAAACGGTTATTGACTTTTATTTGAATACCAGAATAGTTTTGCTATTCACTCACAAATATTATGACTAGTCGGCATACAACATCAATTACATTTTCATGCTTCTGAACATCATCTTGCATCGTCAGTATATGATGATAATAGGCTTTACATGTGTAATGTATGAACAAGTCACGTCCGTAGGGAACACAAATTGTTCGTGAAATAAATACAGTTAGTCTTCAATCTTCAGTTTGTATCATTTATGTGCTCCGCTACCCAAGCTGGTTGTAGACTGTCTTGTCTAGCTTCACTTCAGGTCTCACAAACATTCTGAACCACCGTGGTTTCAGCTTTCTGAGACGTCCTGTCCTTCGCTGTCGACCGAAGCAAATCCCGTGGAGCTCTCTGCTCCTTATTGCTTTTAGGCAGTATTGTTAGTAGCGTTCAACATTTTATGGTAACCATAATAATATAATTCAACCTTGAAGTTTAGCTACAAGATTACCATCGAACATAACTTACACTTCCAAAATCAATTTCTTACAAACAACCGAAGCCATAAAAATAGATATTTATTAACCTGATGTTTGTTGATTTAAAGAAATTTTGTACAGCTTACTCATTTAATATGGTATAATTAGTTATTTCTACTATTCTCAAAATATTTTGATGCATTCATAATACTTTCCAATGTGATAAATAGATGTTAATTTACCGAATGGTTGAAAACAATTAACAGGAAGCTATAAATTTAGCATTTATGCTAATTGTAATTCATCAATTAGTCATATTTACAATCCTAATGCATTTGAAACTTACCATAGAATTCAGACTTGTATCATCAAATGGCCCCAATTGTATTTTACTTAGAACAATGAAAAGTTAATTGACTTACCTTTAAAGGAATAACAAGTTTAATCTCTGCTTTCATAATAAAGCATATATTATTATCAGATTTAAGATAATATATTTTCTGTATTTTTCCTCTATTCTCTGGAGTATCAAAAGGATCAGGTGTAGTTTTTTCCATATTTATAAATCTTGAATAAAACCAAGCTGATTGAACATTTGTATTATTGTTGACTAGATAATATTTTATTTCAATAATTACATTCTATACAAATCAGCTTACATAAGATTACAATGAAATACAATAAATGCACATGATAATTAAAATAATTATTTTGTTTCATAAAATAATAATCTAATAAAAAAAAATTGAATTGACAACTGACTTTAATTTTATTCTTGTCATAAATTAAAACAAATTTACTATACAAGATTATTAAGCATTGAATAAAGTTTCTAACATTTGATTGGTTAACAATAATGTCTAGTTAGTGTTAAATGTCATTTCAATTTTACTATTGTAATAGGATTACATTATTTTATTTTAAAAAGAAATATACGATAAGCCTATTTGTTTAATATCAGATGGATTTTGTGAAGATTGTAGTAATTTCAATGATCTAGTTTCAACTGACTCATGATCTTAACCATTGAAAGCCTATTTGTCTTAAAAATAAAAGTATACAGTTTAATACATTTAGTTGAATGACAGATTTTTATGCAATCAAATTTTATTCATTATTTATACTGTTCAGTATGTGATTTTCTTTAAGAATATTTTATGATAAATCAAAATTTGTGTACACATTCATTGAAGGCGATAATTCAGATGCAGACGTAAAGGCGAGGAATGGCAAAGCAAGGGCTGCATTCCTACAGTCGAAGAATATATGGTACTCAAAACAACTCTCAACCAATATCAAAGTGAGAATCTTCAATACGAACGTCAAGGCAGTTCTGCTGTACGGAGCTGAAACTTGGAGAACTACAACAACCACCATCAAGAAAGTACAAGTATTTATAAATAGCTGTCTTCGCAAGATACTCAACATCCATTGGCCGGATACCATCAGAAATAGCCTTCTGTGGGAGAGAAGAAACCAACTTCCAGCTGAAGAAGAAATTAGGAAAAGACGATGGAAATAGATAGGACATACATTACGCAAATCATCAAACTGCATCACGAAGCAAGCCCTGACTTGGAATGGTGGAGGGAAGTGGAAAAGAGGAAGGCCTGAGAACACATTACGTCGGGAAATAGAATCGGATATGAAAAAGATAAATAACAACTGAAAGGAGCTGGAAAGGACTGCCCAGGACAGGATTGGATGGAGAATGCTGGCGGGTGGCCTATGCTCCTCCACGAGGAGTAACAGGCGTAAGTAAGTAAGTCTAGAATTCATTAACATTGATAATTATTAGTGGATTACATTTAAAACTGATAATCATTTCAGTATTACTTTTCTTAAAATTCTATTTTAGCCACTAGTTGAATTTCAATTAACTTTATTGATATGACAACTCATCGATGCATTTCAAATAGATTTAGTGTAAGAAATTTTAATAGGAAACCCTTGACTATCTGAAAAGGAAGTATAACAATCGTAGTTACATCTTAAATCAAAACATTATGAAATATTAGTTTATTATTTGACTAATTTACTTCAGGTAAATGGTTTCTAATGAATATTTTCGCAAAGCCCTAACTGCAATATTACAAGACAAAATTTGTTTTCCGGAGGCGGAAATGTATATTCTTAAAGGTACATGAGAGGTTAGAACTTGCCAGTTGTTATCATGATGGGATGACATATTTATGAGATAGCTAAGAAACTGACACCGTAATAATAATTATTCGAACATAATTATATCACTGCAGATCCTAAATGACAATTATATGAAGCCTAGTCAAATCGATTAAACACGTTTTAAGGCCAGTGGAATGTCACTGAGCCCTAGCCAAATCATTCGGCAGTTGGGTCACTGAATATCAAAAAGATCACAATTCCACGTCAAGGATAACCAAAGCACATCAGCTAATCGTATGTCATGGACTGGTGCATACGGTGGTGGTCTCTGTACTGATTCTTACTAATATATTTCCATAATAACGTCCTTTGTGTTATACGGTCTTCAAAGCAGCCATAGTACTTTGATACGTCGAAGGGGTAATCCACGTTAGATATTGACCGCGGGGTGTGAATTCGAAGTTAGCTGGTTCGTCACACCAGTCCCATCTAACTCGAGTAGACCTCTGATCATTCGACATAGATCATCTACGTTGGTGATCTACAACTTCAAGCTGCTATAATTAGTGCATATATTATTTGAATACAAATATATTTTGGCTGAGATTGAACATTCGCTTGCATGAATCTATTCAGTGATAATTATTAGTGTTCGAATACAGTTATTTTTTCAATGCCAGGGATTTTACTCGTCATACATCACTTGTTTAGTTTGGGAAAGAACACCATTTGCATTTAAAAATAGAACAGAAGCAAGTATGGTTCAATTTGCTTAGATGATATGGTCTTTAAAGACATGTTCACCAATGATCACTACTATCATATTTTCTTTTAAAGAAGCCTTTGAAATGAAGAATATCAGGAAGAGAACAGCTAGTGCACAAAAATTGATATTTTAGGTGAAGAATGCACTAGGACTGCATAAAATTTCCACCAAACAAACATGATTCAATATTACTCAAAATGAAAAGCTTTGTATTGTCAAGCTCATATGTTAGAGGATAGAGATTCAAATCTGTTCCAATGAAAATTTTTATGACAAAATTCGAAGATTATTCGGTAATGCTGTATTCATTTAGTTAGTGTTCGAAACAGTCAATTATTGACTTTATTTAACATTATATTTTTGGTACAAAATAGAATTCTCAGGACAAAGTAATTCAACTAGTTTTCTTTTAATTATTTCTTAATCGAACCGTGCGATAAACATTAGGTGGACGCCAGTTAAATGTTAGTGTTTCAGGAATTGACATCTAATTAAAGTATATTCTTTTCCATGAATATTGCCAGAAAAAACGATGTCACCGATTGGGCTCTTTTGTAAATTGTATATCGAAATGTAAAATTTCCACAAACACAACTGAATAGGTTATGCGAATAATAAGCATAATGTATTAAAACGAATGAGGTAACAGATAACTCGTTAAAATATCCAGATGGCAGGAACACGTAGCCCAGATATTCAAGCAGGCCGAATTGGTTATTTATTCACTATTGTAGTACTTTCACATTTGAAAGTCACTCAAGTGTGGAAGTTACTTACATGTACCACATGTGACTGAGCTATTCAATTGAAATCAGGAATTGAGACACTCCCAACATCCTTTCCTAAAGTCTTCTCACAAGAATGCTTTTCAGACAACTCACCTGATTATTTCATTGTCAGTAGAATGAATGTAGTGTCACATATTCCACTCACCGAATTGTAACACTTAGTTCACCAGTTTTGTGGGACTCCAACTAATGTAGATTTTATTCTGTGATACGAGCTCGTCATAACATGTTGGGAAATAGTACTTTTATTTCTTCTGTTGCAATTATCGAATTCGTCACAGTGTTGAATAATCCGCATTTCATCACTCACGAAATTGCAAATCAATCGATTCGAATCGATTGATATTTAGTTGGATTCATTGTGGTGTGCTGCCTAATTCTATTTTTATACAGAGTAATCAATGAGAGACTATGAGAAATTATTTGTTTTTCATTCTTTGTGATTGTCATGATTGTAATCACTTTGGTTATTATTTGAAATGATTGATAATAAATACAATAATGATGTATTGTGATATTGGAGGTGCTTACTTCATAATTAGTTGTGTTTACCTATTCAATGAAATTGAGAGTAATGTATACTATGATTGTATGAATAAGTTAGTCTTTTCTAAAGATAGTCAAAATTATTGATTACTCCTGGCAGAAATATTTTAAAGAGTCACATGTAAACACTTTTTTCTTTGTGATACATTACTAAATTATAATTGCTATATGTAGTCAACAAAATATTACATATGTCCATTGTGGTAGAGATGTCTTTGGGTTAAAACTTCAAATTTATGTGACAGTGAATGATATACTATTCCCAACATATGTGAACTACATCGCGCTTCTCAATATATAAAATGCTTTTCTGCACATTTGAAATGATTGGAACATTTAGTATGGGAACGGCTGTTTATTCATTGAAACCGCCAACTTAGAAATTGGTTAAAGCAATTTACAACTTTTATCTAATTTTGATAGAATGTGACTTTTTAACATCTTTTTGTTTGTATACAAATTGTCACTGAGGGGGCATCGGAAACAAGGATTTTGACTACCATCATATCTACTGTTTTCAGCGATTCAATCTATCGTTTACTTCAGAGTAAATAACAACTCGGTATTCAAGATGAGCTGCCCTTTATTATTTTTCAACCTATATGTTTGTTTGTGGCATTTAGAATCAGATTCCTATGGGTATGTTCGCGGTCTAACTGGATATTTTTACGAGCAGCACGTAAAGTGGTTTATTTTGCTTATTATTGATAATCATATTCACGTTATTCTATGGTCGCACAATGGTTATCTGGAAGCATTGACGACAGTGTAACAGGTATCACTCAATGAAGTTGGGAATCGATTATGTACGTCATTTTATCGTGTTATGTGCCAAAGCCAGAATGAGGTTTTAAAGGCAGTCATTACAAGTAATCAGATGTAGTCCTAAAGGTTATACAAATCAGTAGCTTGAGCGTTATCAAACATGGCTAACAATTGGGGTCACTAGGTAATTTACCTAAGTTAGACAAACAATCTGAACTGAAATAAATCTATCTTGCTTGTGTCTTCTTCAATAAAGTTGTTGGACGGAGTCCTTATTTTGCTCATTCATCAATGAACTTCATAATTCTTCTTACAATTGTCTCTTTGGAATATTATCACTTAGTTTTGTATCTCATATTTTGAGTACCCTGTCGTGTCATAAGGAGAAAATTAAAAATATCGGAATAAAGTCGCGAGAAAACCGAAGAACTCAATGGTTACAATACACAGCAGGGGGATTAATATCATTGCGACTTTTTTATCGACTACTCAGAACTTCATTCGCATAATCACATCACAAGAATATGTGGAGAACGTTACCTTCGAATAATTTCTTGCCATGTGATCCTACGATCTGAGAAAATGAAGTAAGTAGTTTCAGAAAGACAATTGAATCAAACACTTGTTGAAAATATACTATTTATACAAGATGAGTTTCAGATTTTTTGTTTATGAAAAATATGTTAGATTTTAAATACTTCGGGTATGTGAATAGTAGTATTCTGCAATCGAGCGACACAAGTAACCGACTAAATCTCTGGTATGTTACACGGTCTGAATATACGCGTTCAGCACATTTTCGTATGGTTTTTTAACTCAAGTCAGTTATGATTTTTACGAAATCAGAAAACACACACACAAAAAAACAGATAAACCGCTTCAATCATACCATTATTCGAATTTAATGAATATGATAGACTATGGAGTTATGTTTGATAAGTATATATATCTTGAACAATAAAACACAAGTAGTTAATTCACTCAGGTTAAAAGGAGAAAAAATGAATGAACGCAAGAAAACTATACACATGCGTATATTTACCGCACACACTTTACAACAATAAAGAACAACTAGACAGTTATAAATTATTATTTGATAAAATAAAACAAGTTTCATATATTTGTACACACGTATATTGTGTCGGAAGAAAATAATACCAGATTATACAGAAAAAAAATAACAATTTATTAAGCACAAAGTAAGAAACATACAAATACTAGACATAAATCGACAAGTAGATGGGTAAGACAATCCATTATTGAAGATATTAACCTAAAATATCGTGAAAATAACATAAAATTTGCAATGAAAAACAAAAAAAACTAACATTGATCGTTGGAAATGTATTTTATTTTGTCAATGATTTAAACAGTAATAACCATGTATTAGAAACATGATCTGTTGTGTAATGCTTTAAGCTTTCAAAAAAGATTTCATGGGTATTTTAATATATTTCCCTTGAAAAAGAAACATACAAACCGGAGGATTGTTTAGTGGTTGAATGACACTAACTTCATTCTTTATATCTGTCACTAATTAAGTAGCTGTGTATTACTAAGAAAGACCCAGTATCGAAAACTATAGATGAAAACCGTCGATCAACAACAACAAACATTATGTGCAGTTCACTACAACTTTTATTTGTATCGATTGAGACGTATAATAGATTTAAGAAAATGTGAAACAAATATTGTAGAACATGTCTAATGCTTTATGTTGAAGAAAGAGTTATAAAAATTTTTTAAAACACATTATTCAATGAGATGTACTAATCACATACAACGTCATATCTTAACAGAAATAATTCCTAAAACACTGAACATGATTGTACTTTAGAATTTCTTTTTATCCAGAGGAATTGAATAAAAGATTATTAATGATAGTATGATATACATATTTCTTCAGTTATTACATTCAAAGACAAATAAAGAGAAATAAAAAGAATAAATTTTAGATGAAGTAATATCCTTCTAAATATTCATTTAAAAAAAAATAGACAATCAAACTATGAATAACAATACATACCTAATCACTAAGTGTAGTACGTAGTTTAGGATGGAATTGAAAATTAAAATGTTCACTAACATTCCATTTTGGTTTGACAATAATATTCTGTACATTAGCATTGATATAAAACTTAGGTTCAAGATCTGATATTAAACGTATCACATGTTCTCGTCTATAAAATAAATTTTGAAGAAAATAAAGAAGGCGTTACTATTCAGGCATTAATGAAACTATAAATTAGCTGGTTGTAAATGATGGTGATTTAATGTGGAGAAAGATCAATTCAAAAAAAAGTATAACTAATTAATTCTTTGAATGCAATTACACTAACTGATATATACTTCTTCTAGTGAATCAGTTTTATGTAAAGTAGAGTCTAGTACAAAGGTGTAACGGTTAACGTTATCACACGATATTAAAACATATGTCATAGTAGCAGAATTAGTAACAATGTATGGGGTAGTATAAAATAATGACTTTGTAAGGTAACATTTCTTACAATGAATGAAGAAACTAGTTAATTATAAGTTAGAAGGATGACTGTAATCATGTTGGTATGATTATCAACGTATGAACTGATAATTTTAAATAAACTGAGGATTAAGTAGATAGTTAATAATAAAAATAATGATATACATGTAAAATCCCAATGAGTAGAAAATAAGACATTTTGACTTTTTTTATTCAATATAAGCCATGTTTTGACGGGACAAACAAATTAAATATATTTAAGTTTAAATGCCCCCAAATGTCCTGGTACGGCCGAGAGTTCGCTCTCTCTGTCGAAATGCTCTCACGCGCCTCTACCAGGAAAGTCCTACTCACTGCCTTCTCGTGGCATTACTGTTGTTTACGAAAATGAGAGGACGAAAAGCGAATATCCGGCGCTTTACCCGGATTCCAAACCAGTGGTGCACATGGGCTCCAGTATCCTGAGGGAACAAATGGCGTATGAACCAATCGTTGGTCACCGACTACCATGGGACTGCACCTCCTCACGATGCCCCACTGCCTTGTGGGTCAGACCTTCAGGTCAAAGGCTCGGGGTGTGGCCTCCTAAGTAAACCACCTGCTTCGGTCTGGGCACCCCGGCAGTATCACAGCCCTCACACATATCGAATGAGAGATGTGTGGCGCATATGTATTTGGTGCCTCTTTGTACCAATATCTATGTGTTAAAATAAATAAATAAGTTTAAATAGTACAACGTAACAAAGTCAAAATACTTATTAGTCAATAGAAAGAAAACATAGATCTGAATACGTCAATGTCACGACACTTAAGTCAGGGTGGAGATCAAAAATAAGTCAAAATAACGTAGATACATTCTGTAAGTTTTTTTTATAGCACGTATTAAGTTCCTGTACCTACTGAACACTGTTAGATTGAAACGAATACAAGAAGCATGGAGTTTATTTGGAGCGCACGCAAATATGTATGAATTTACTAGAAATATGTCTTTTAGTGATTGCTCTAGCTAGGTATGAAACAATAAGAGGAGATTGCATTGTAACATTGATACGCACAAAAGTTTAAGATAAAATGGATGGATATACAAATATCATTTGTTAACACACCCAATCATTGGAATAAGTTTTGATCCGGACAAACTGAATAATGAAGAATCTATACCGAAGTCATGTTTAGCAACAATATTTTCTGGATGACCAACAGGAAATACGATTAATCGTAAAGTAGGCAGGTAAATATCAGGAGTTTGGACATTAACAGTAATCTATAGGATAAACGGAGAGAAAAAAGAGAATTTCGAGTAATGGAATAGGAGAGAATTACTACTTTGTACCACCAATTAGTTCATAAAATTTTGAACCATTCGTAAAAGACTAAAACAGAAGTCATTGGGTATAACAGTCGAACTATGCTTCAGCAAATCATGAAAATACCTATTGGATTCATACTTTTGTACTTACATTATCCAATAAGACGAAGCTAATCAGAATTATGTGGTAATAAATATTAGAGAACTTATATAGAAACACAAGAGTTTTCGGTAAGCTTTCTTTTTACAACTCTTTTAACATAATCAGAAAGCATAATGTTAAAATTACGGCACATTGTATAATAAAGGAAAACGTCATTGAAGTAGGTGAACTTGCAGAAAACACCAATGGTTAAGTACGTCTGAAAAAATTCCGACTGATGTCGTAAACCTTTCTTTATACTCGTTCAGTGGATTTGATAGTTATATTAACTAATTGAAAAGTAAATATTTTTGAAGCGTTGTAGGGTTGGTCGGTCAGTAAGATAACACACTATTTAAAACCAACTGATCTATCCAACGGACCATATTGCTCTGACCCGTCCATTGGGACCGATCTTAACTGACGTCTATAGAAGGGAATATGGACAACAAGCATAACAGCGATGAGTCGCTGTATAGGAAATAAATGGATAACATATTAGTTACATGAAATAGAAATACTGTTGAAGTACAGATCTTGGATACACTCAATGTTATATTTAAACAAGAAATGCTTTAGAATCAAACATACCAAAGAAGTACAAAGGTGACGAATTATGTAGAAATGTAGTCCATTTGTGTCAGTGGTTAGCATCTGCAAATTTACATGATCAGGAACTGCATGTTCAACATCATTGCGAGAAGATAGTTTACTTGATTCCTTTGTCACTTGATCCAATATAAGATTTGATAAAATATTAGGATTTATATGTACAGAGATCCTGTATACACAACCTGAATAAAATAAATTACATTATATTTCTTGTTTATCCATCTTTAAACATAGTAGCGCAAAAAGAAAAAAACAAGTGTACCATTTTATTGTAAATTAGATGAAAATGGCCATTTACAACAATAATTGCTAAAATGAATAAGATTAGTGTAATGATTACGAAATCATCTAGGTGTGTTGTTGCTTACTAAAGAGCCAGTCACAATCGAGAAAACTAGTTTCAGTTTCGCCCGAGTCAGTCAGTAACAACGTAGAACTTCGTACGTACGTATATCAGTTCGAGTTGCCACACCACATTAGCACAGAGATGCAGTTGTCGTATCGAATCCCGTAGTGGTGGAGATGGTAAGAATATAAGTAGTAATCGGGAAAATTAGGGTTTGAAGATGTTATTCAAGGAGTATAATCCAGTGAAATAAATTTGGGAGGAGAAAAAAAAGAGACAAGACGGATTCAGGAGATCAGAATTTGGGAGAACACAAAGAATGGATGCACCTGCGCCATTGCAAACGATTTTGAGCCATGTCATTCAGGGTCTCTAACCATCGGTTGCTATCATCTCGTGGTCCCCAACCAGGTAGTCTGCACCTACCAACATGGCTCAGTCCACTTGTCAGTGACTTCATGGACTTGTGCCATGTTTTGGTCTGGCCGCCCCTAGCTTTCTTCTAACCTTCTCCTATACCACTGAACATCGCACGTCGAGGCAGTCGGTCGTTGGGCATACGTAACACGTGTCCCAGCCATCTCAACTGATGAAGTTTCACTAATTCATCAGTTGATTTTCCATTCTTACCTAGTACCCGTTTCGTACCAACTGCGTTACTTACTCGGTGGTCCCAGGATATACGAGCAATGTTTCGAAGACACCTATGATCAAATACTAGTAACCTACGAATATCATCTACTCTTACCGGCCATGTTTCACTGCCATAAAGAAGGACGGAACGAACTGCTGCGCAGTAAACCCGTCCTTTGGTTGATAGACGGATATCTCGCCTACTCCATAAATGACGCAAGTTGGCAAAAGCTAGTCAAGTCTTCTGTATCCGTGCTGAGATATTGTCACACACTAGACCACAAGGGCTGATGACACTTTCAAGATAAATGAAGCGATCGACACGCTCAACTACTTCACTCCCTATCACTAGTTCGGGTGTCGATGCAACCCAATCCTGAAGCAGCATTTTAAATTTCGAGATGGAGAATCGCATCCCGAACATGCTTGCATTGTTGCTTAGAGTGGTCAGAAGACTCTGCATTTTGTCAGCGTCTTCACCAAATAGAATTATGTCATCAGCATATTCTAAGTCAACAAGTGAATCTCCCGGTAGAAGTTCAACCCCTGGAAATTTAGATGAGGAAAGTGTTATCTCTAAAAGTACTTCAATGACAAAGTTGAACAAGAATGGAGAGAGTGGACAGCCCTGACGAACACCACTTGAGGTAATCAATTCTGATGACAGTTCGCCATAAGCTCTCACTCGACCAGTTGTGTTCGAGTAGAGAGCCTTTATAAGGTTAATGTACTTCTTTGGTACTCCTTTCAGTGACAAATACTGCCATAGAACCTCACGATCAACAGAGTCGAATGCCACCTTAAGGTTGAAAAACACTTCCATTGTGGGGCGTCTGAATGTGTGTCTATGTTCTAGGATTTGACGTAGTGTGAATATCTGGTCTATACAACCACGTCTAGGTGGAAAACCAGCCTAGTTTTCCCTAGTCTGCTCTTTACGAGCTTTAGTTAGGCGTCAAAGTATTATTGAAGCTAATATTTTAGATACTATATTTGTCAAACTGATTCCTCTGTGATTGTCACAAGAAGACTTTTGTCCTTTCTTATAGACTGGCACAATCAGTGATTGAGACCAGTCAGATGGGATTACGTCCAGTTCCCAAATTCTACCTAAGACCTCGGTTAATCTCATTGCTAATACTGGACCACCATCCCTAAAAATCTCAGGAGTAAACCTGTCAGGGCCTGCTGCTCTCCCTCGTTTCAGATTTCCTATGGCTTTTTCAACTTCGTAAAGAGACGGATGACCTACATTAACTTGCCATTCAGGTTGACTAGAGATCGTGGGAAACCGAAGTGTGGATGAAGGTTAGCTAAACTGATCCCTAAAGTGTTCTGCCCATCGATCCAATCTCCTGGATTGAGAATGTATAATATGTCCATGTTTCTCTGAGATTGGTTCGCTAACAATTGGGTTCATAATACCGGTTTTCTCAACAAGTCTGAACAGTTGTCTGCTGTTATCTACTGCCGCTGCCTTTTCCATCTCTCTTGCTTTCGCTACCCATCACTGTTCGCGATCATTGCGTAGGCTTCTTGTCAGCTTGCGCTTAAGCTGACTCCGCTCTTCGTTATGTTCAGATCCAGATGGAATGAGTTTTCGAGCATCTATCAGTGCGGTAGATGTTGCTGAGATCCAGTGTTGCTCCCTTACCTTGTGGTTTACCGTACTAGCAGATATCACTGCTTTTTCCACAGCTTCTCGGATATCATTCCATGCTGCCTCAGGGTGGGCTTCGCCTACATGGCTGCCTAACTGTTTTTCTAGTTGTTCCTGAAATATACTCTTAGCTTCACTATCATTAAGTAGGGCCCTAAGAAGTTTCCTTGCAGCGTCTTTCCTACGTCCTGTAGGACGCAGACAAATACGCGCCAATCTGGGCCATCTTTGGCGCCTTCGTGATGTTAGTCTGGCTGTAAAAGGTCGAATCTACAACGCGTCGGTTAGAGCAGTTTTGCTCTATGCTTGTGAAACCTGGCCTCTCCGAGTAGAGGACGTTAAACGACTTTCTGTTTTTGATCATCGTTGTCTCCGAAGGATTGCTGACATCCAGTGGCAACACCATGTTGGTAATGCAGAGAATCGAGATCGTGTGTTCGGGCGCAGAGACGATAATGCAATTGGTGTCACTATCCAGAAACATCGACTTCGGTGGCTTGGACATGTTCTACGAATGTCTTCCCAGAGAATTCCACGTCGTGCATTATTTGCCGACTCTTGGACTGGTTGGAAGAAGCAAAGAGGTGGTCAGTGTATGACATGGTGTCGTGGTATGAAAGAAAGTTGCAGAGGTTTGGCTTGTGTTGGTCCTTCACGACTCCGTTGTTGGGGTCCTAGAGATGGTGCAACATAGTGGCTAGAGACGTAATCAAATATGGCTTAGAATAGAAGCCAGTGGCGATCCTGCTGTAACCTTCTTTTACTTTCTTCATAAAAAAAAGTTGTTGTGTCTTCCTTAACTGGAAGATTTCTTCTGATTGTACCTTTCCGTTCCTCCATTATTACTATTATTATTATTACACTACCTTACATCAATCTGTTCGTTATTGTTCTTTTTTACACTCCTTACCTTTTTTTCCTTCTCTTCAAATTCTCATTGTTTTGTATGGCGCATGTATATTTGGTGCCCCTTTGTACCAATATTTATGTGTTCAAATAAATAAGTATAATTTGAGTATTAAAGTCACCAGCCACTATTACTACACTACTACACTATTACTCATCTTTAACATCATCTGAGCTGCAGTCAGTGGGAGGATAGGCAGAGGCGACGAAGAGTGTCCCTATCTTTCCGAGTCCTTACTGTTCTGTTCAATCGGACTGCGCACAAACGATTGTCTACTGGGGTCCAGTCTAAGAGAGCTAGTTCTGCCCTAGGACTCGGGTCGTTTGCCCTAGCGGTTAGAGGTGATGAAGGGACGTGAGAAGGGTTAGTCATGGAGATAAGAGAGGTATAAGGAGATGTAGGAAGGATTTGAATGTGACCAACTTGGTCTCGTGTGTTGTTACGGGTATGAGGGCTGATGTCACTTCCCGGCTGCCAACACTGTGGAAGGATATTTCTTGAGGAACCTGAAAAGGGAGTTGGATTAATGTTGGCCTTAACAGCCTCGGAGCGTGACCGCAGAGCCCAAGGGACAACTGCTTGAGGCCGGTCGCAGACGACCCTTTCGTGGGAGGTTTTTAATGTGTTAGCTCCGTTCTTCAAAGGGCCTTATCGTCGGGGATGGAAATCAGTGAGGTAAGGTGAGGTGTGACATTTTTAGGGTCGACCTCTTCTAACCCCACCCCTCCTTGTGGGAAGGCAGCAGATGCTGATGGTCTGAGGGAAACACCTTACTGCTGCCACAGCCCTCTACAGTCAGCAGTACGAATTCGCCCTCAGACCTTGAGTTGCTGCTTTTAGTCTTACCGTTCTCCAATGGACCTGCCTGGCATGGTAGAACCTACAGGAACATATGTTCCAGCCAATATAGCTTGGTCAGGTCATCACGATAGACAAGCCCGACCACCGCGTCAAGGTAGCAGCTAGCTCCAACTGACGGAATTTCCGTAATTAAATAAAGTGATAACTTCAGCGATCAGTTTATGTACACCTGTTCCAGTGGCTGTCTCTAACGGTACATTATGTGTAAAATGTACACATTTTACAACAAAACGTGAGGGGGAGTGAAAAAATGACTTATTAAACCAACCTGGCATAAGACCTCTAATACGAAAATTGCCATTTGAATCCGTTACAGATTGTTCCCGTGGAATAATATTAATTTGATCATATCGAAGTTGACACGTCATGTTGCTATTTGATTTTAAGTGCAACAAATCGTTATGTATAGTATTTTGTGTTCCAGGTAACCAGGAAGCTTCAACTAAAACACCAGACTCAGGGATACCAGCTAACGAAGTAACCTTTAAGTACCGAAGTTAAAGTGAAGGTTCAGAAAATAAACAAACATAACAAAAATACAAACTTAAAATATATAACAATTACTAATCAGATAGTGGAATAACAGCCTTACAATTCAGTCAACAATCGAAAGATAAAGTGTAATAATGGATGATTTTTTAAGTTCGGCTTGATTGAAGACATTGTGTTCCACACAAAACTGTATGCATTTTTTCACAATCTTAGCAAAGTGTACATGATTTGATTTTGTATTTAAATAACGGACCAGCTAATTAGTTCTATTTTTGGTTGTCAATGGTTTTATTATACTTAATATTTTGAATTCCTTGTTGCTAGTACGTATTGATTTGAACAGAAGATTTAGTTTCAAGCGATGAAGTAGGGTAACAGTTAGCAGAAAACGCTTACTATTCCAGTTTTCCGTTATACTAAGAACATTAGACAGTGACATAAGTAGTTAACCTTTATGTTTATAAATTCGAACTACTCGAAGAGAAAAAATTACTGACTTACAACTCCTGAAGCGGAAAAAGCAATTCGAAGTGCAGACAATATGATGACAGCCGATTTTCCTTCTTCTACCTGCACAGGAATAGCTTGACCAGATTCAGACTGATCAGGAGATTTAACAGTAAATGAATACTCCTTCATCATTGGACGTACATAATACTGTCCTAAAGTGTGGAGTAGGAGAACACTTTAAAAATCTACGAAATAACGGAATTCAGATGGTCAAAAAGTCTTTTCCTTTATGTTACATTTTACAATTATCATATAAAAAATAGTCAACCATCAAGCTAAACAGGAAAGATCGTTATTTTATTTAAATAAATTCTGCAAAATATTATCGAGATTTTAAGCACACAATCGGGTGACAGGTAAAATACGGTGACAAAAATGACAACATATTCTGCTAATGTGGTACCGTTATTACGAAAATATGTGGAATGTATACAAACCCCAACTGGTAAGAAGTCTGAAACATCTACTGAGTTTGTGTACAATCAGAGAAGACCGCCTCTTAAAAAGAATACATAGAGTTAATAATAACAATACACGACAGCTAACAAGCGTATCTAAATTAGAATGGCAGGGAATGTCAAAGTGAGAAGGTAGAACATCAAATATGGAAAGCGTAACACTAAGAAAAAAACGTTCAACGGATAAAATAGAACGAAAAGTGTATGTTGTGTGCATTTTAAAAAATGCAATTACGTTTATAAATAAACTGAATGATGTTGGTATATGTAAATAGTCTAAAACTTTACACAGTCACGGATGAAGAGAAAACGTTATAAGCTCATCAAAAGGTATAAGAATTGAGACCGGTTACTGAATGTTAGTAAGTAATATAAAGTGGTACATAAAAGAGAATCAGATCAGGGGAGAATAAAGAAAAAATGAAAACGAATTTAACAGGGCCAATACATGTAAGATAGTTATAAGACTGCTCACATTGACAGAGATGGACATAAACTTCATAAGTGGTTATTTGTTGGAAACAAATAAATTAGACGATATAAAAAGTATGATTTTAATTTCAGATAATTAAAGGTAAGAATGAAAACAGAGTAATTTTAAGGATTTACATGAAAAATAAGAATTGGCAAGAGAAAATAGGATCTCAGATACAAAAAAGCGGCATCTATTATAAAGTTAGGAAACAAAGCTTTCTATTTCGTCATAAAATCTGACTAACGTCCAAAAGACTGATGTTTATATTTTTCAATACTACCGAAATAGATTGTAATCAGTCTAATTATCAGAAGTCTTACAGTTCTTATTAGTCGAATGAAAGGAATTAAACATGATGATAACGATGTGGATTTACGAAGGAATCAAATCCATGCGTTTGGTTCTCTAATCAATCACTGTTTTGTCGTATCGCAGTGATTCTAACGGAATAATTTAAGAATTAAAAGTGTTTATGTAGTTCCAAACTGAACGGAGTTGTTAATAATTATGGTTTACATTTTACCATGATTAAATAATGACACAATAATAAACAGACATTGTTGATATGACGGGATAAGAAGACATTGTTTAGGGTAATACTTTTGTATTAGTCCTTTACGAATTTCAGTATGGATGACAGGTGCGAACTAAGTTTAGTGTTTTTTTCAAAAAGTAACTCAATGTATTGTCTTTTGTGTGTAATACTATTAAAGGTGTGTAAAAATTAGTATGTAAATGACTGAATTTTAGTCTAATGATGGTATGATTTTAAGACGTGCATGGAATAGTGTTTTCGGGAAGTCACTAAATTCCCGTTGCATTAGTTCTCTGTGCTTTAACCTTGCGTTGTGACAACTGTAGTGGTCTCCGATTGTTAAGTCTAAGCAATAAGACTGATGATATAATAGAGTCAATAAGTAAGGAGCAGTCAAGACTAACTAGATACAAACAATTATTAGAAAACCTAAATTGTCCGATGGACACAATGCTAATCACAGCATATTTAGTGTAGAGTCCTAATACAGTTATTGGTGGATGTACCTAGAATGTCCTAGATGTTGTTTATGTACATTCTGTACAAACTGTACGCTTGGACATTCCGAATAAACCAAGTTCTCAACCCTAATGTTGTTCTGACTTGTGTTAAATTGAGAGAAGTGTAATGATAAAAAAGTAAAACAAAAGGAAGAACGCAACATAAACTGATGGTGATTGAAATAATATGAAACAGTTCTAAGAAAATTTAAATCGGTATGCCCCCATAAAGAAAGCAATTAGTTTCAGAACATTAACACCATATATGTAACAATTCCATAACTACTCATAACTCGTAGACATCTGAAAAGATGCCCATCAAAATACCATACAAAAGCATTTGAAGGTTTAACTAGTAAGAAAAAGAAAACCATTCAGTTTAACTACAAAAGACATACGAGTAAAACAATATGTAAATATATATATAAACTGAACATACCAGGAGATAGACCGACAAAGCGTACAACGCCTTCATCATTTGTTAAATGATTTGCACGATGTCCTTCTCCAATAATGGAAATCAATACAGCTGAAATATAAAGGAATTGATCAGGAATACTAAAATCCTAACTTGAACATTATCAGTCATGATTTAGGACAAAACAAAATTTATCAGTATTATGAACTATGAATAATGAGCCCTTAACAAAATATTAATATATTTGAACACATAAATATTGGTACAAAGGAGGCACCGAATACATATGCGCCACACAAGTCACTTGATTTGTGTGTGAGCTGTGATATTGCCCGGGTACCCAGACCGAAGCAGGCGGTTTTCTCAGTAGATCACTTCCCGAGCCTCCGACCTAAACGTCTGATCCACAAGACAGTGGAGCAACATCAGGAAATGCAGTCCCATCGTAGCCGGTGACCAACGATTGGTTCATAGGCCATTTGTTCCTTTAGGATACTGGAACCCATGTGCACCACTGGTTTGGAATCAGGGTCTTCCCACTCCCCTAGGAGGATTCTTCGTGTTCTTCGTGGAGAGAGGACTCTCTCCACTCTCGGTCGCACCAGGGCATTTGGGGCTTAACAACGAAAACACATTATAAGCTGTTTTAAGACCTGTTATTTTAAGGTTTAAATTGAAACCATCTTATTTTTTATATGAACATAGTATTAATATTAGTATGAATTAAAGATTAGTGAAGACTCAATTTTTTTAATTGTCAATAATTGTGATTTAATTATAAGTAGCATAATAAAGGTTAGAAATGATATTCTGCTATGAACACACTCTTAAACTGTCAGGTTTAGTTGAAATTTCAATAGTTTATTTTCAATTAATGCTGCTACATAAAACAACTGTACCCATAAATGGTTATGACCGAAAAGATTAGGTATATGCACTGGAAAAAATAGTTTTACACACAAAGGAGTGAAATTTTAAACATCATTAAATATTCAGAAACCAGTGGACTTACCTGGTAATGGTTGACGTGAATCCTCTGAAACAGGATAGTTATAGACAAACACTTCAACAAGAGAAAGTCTAGTTGATTTTACATACCAGTCGAAACCTGTCAATTGGTGTTTTACATCTGTTTTATTAATGATATCGAACTTGTAACCAGCTTTAGATAATAAAATCTGATACATTTTAGAAACCTCAAATATAGATTTAATATTGAATACTTCGTAATCTGTTAAAGGTAGAGCATTAAAAGAGAATAAACCTTGACTATCCGACTGAGTGACTGCAATTGGTTCAGATGAGTTAGTTTCTTTTTCTGTTTTAGTTACCAATTCGGATTCACTATTCACAGGTAGTAAGAGATGATCGTGTTCGACAGAAGTTGGAGACTTTTCTGACATTCGGGGCAATTTCTTGAATAATTCAATATTAACCTGAACACATAGAAAATTATTGAAAACTTAGAAATGAGGAAAATTAATGTCATGTCAACAAAATCATTAGAAGAAAAAGATAGATTTCATTTTACATTTTTTTCGGATAACTAACCATATATTAATTGTTCTAGTTTAGAGGATTTTATTAGTACATTAAAATCGGTCACACATAAATGTAAAGACAACTTTTTATTGACAGATTCCTTTACTGCATTCTGGAGCAGTCGTAAATAATTCACTTAACATTATTATTACAATAACCACTTTGTGAGATAGTAAAGAGATCCTTAAACATACTTGTAAACAATCATAATGAAACCATATAGAAATGAACAATACTGATTGATAAGCCAACAGACAGTGGTGCAATGATGCATCGGAGATTGATCTATAACCTAAGATAATTTATGCTTTGAATAGAACGACTAAAATAACAGGACAAGAGAACACAATACAGGGAAGACAAGTGAAATTCACTGATAAATGTTGATTTGTTAAAAATAAGCAATATTCTCTCACCCTCTCAGTAGGCGGATCGATACGACCTCTAAGATTGACAGAGATCGTGAGGCTGAATTCAATATTTTGTCCAACAAAAAGTGATAAACATAATGAATGTACATCATTTACAGTAGATTTAGAGGGGTTAACTATAGGGATAGTCAAACTACATGAAATATCATCAATTTGTTTTTGTTGTTGTTCAGAGTCGGATTGAAGATTAATATCTTGACTAGACGGATATGTTATCAAATGAACCATATGATTTTGCTTTAAATTCAGTGATTTAGGAGTAACGCGAATTGTGTTTCTGATATTAAGCCAGAACACTCCTGTTGCAGATACTGACTCGATGTTTTGAGATGATTTAGACCAACTATGAAGTGAAAAAGATAAAAGTTTATGAACACTCAAATCATTATTTGTGTATATCATTAACCAACATAAGAAAATTAAAAATGACAAATTAATTCACTAAACTAGAAAATTATGAAAAAATAGGATGTATTATACTGTTTTCATCTATTGATATAACAGGAAAATACACGTATTTAAAATTCGTTGACGTTGAATACTTATAACACACAAGTTCAGTGGAATTATAAGGAATGTGGTTTATGAAATGAAAACAATCTGGTCATTTGTGTAATGTAATCCAATTGTAATTTGTAATGAGCGCTTGTATGTCTGTATCCAAGAAAACTAAAATTAAACACTCTCGAGCTGCATTGTAGACTAAAATAAATGAGAACTAGAATATCGTCAAAAATATAACATAATTAAGCAAGATTACTGTGTGCTTTTTACTATAGAACTAGTTAATGAGCTATAGCATATGGCGAAGTACCACATCAATCGACTTCATTAACTTGATTGCTTGAAGATGGAGTAATGACCAATGTCACATTTGTTCAATCCTTTGAGTTGATCGAATTCTCAACAACTGAATAACTCATGAACAATGTTGAGATGTTAGGTGGTCGTTACAAGTAGTCGGTAGTAAACACAGGATCTAGCTTTCGTGAGAGCAAGGCGTGGTTGCAGCCTTGAGAAAACTGATTCTCTCCAGGAGATTTGAACCTGTATTACACAGATTCCTCACTAATTCCACTGAATTTCTCATGTACAAAATCATACACTACCTCTGATTTATCGAACACTATTCTTCAAAACACCTGGGGATTGAAATATTAAAAATCTAAGGTACTTCAAGCTGGAATATTGCGTATCATAATGTTTGATTATGCGTAATTAATTATTTTAATAGTTGAATTCATGAGTTGATTCAAGCTAGACAACCGTTGAAAATCTAGAAGCGCCGGACGGCCGTTTCGTCCTAGTAAGGGACTCATCAACGGTGCGCATCTACGATCCTGCACGCAGGATTATTTCACCACGACATTTAATCTGAGTAATAAAGTGTACAGTTACGAAATGTAAACGACTAAGTCAATCACTTACTATGTTTCAACTAGTTTTGATCGAGGTGTTACAGATGTATTGGAAGTAAAATCTTCTATTTGGAATGAATAAGGAGAATCGAAAACTTCCTTGAGATCATCGAAAAATCTTGAGGCCACTTCATCGAGTTTTAGATGAATAACAACAGGCAGTTCTTCTACGCCGATGCGGATCCTAGCACTAGAATTCAGTGTAAGGTGACAATCTTTTGATGGATTTATTTCAGTGGCTTGTAATAGTCTGACTCGAGTGCATGTGCTAGATAAGCTAATTTTATAAACTTTTTCAGGTGAAGGTAGACAAATCTGAAAAAAAACATTAAGATTTTCTAAAACAATCTTCAATTGAGTATAAGAACGAGGTAACAAATAATATTTCGGTAAGTTACATTTGACATGAAATATTGAATTCATGAGTTTATTCACTTGAATACTGATCAACTACATATATTGACGTCATGGAATGTTGAGGTGAATATATAAGAACGCAATCAGATCTAGTTAGTAACTATAGTCCCGTTAGCCTAACTAGTGTAGTTGTAAAACTGATGGAAATAATCATTCGGATATCTGTTACAAACCATGTTGAAGGGCACAATCTTTTCTCTAGGGAAAAACACGGTTTGATTAGAGGCCTATCATGCTTGATGAATCTTTTCATTGCAAAAAAAGATTGGGCAGGAACATTCCAGGAATATTCCCGTAGATGTAATTTTCAAAGATCTAAGTGAAGACTTCGATAAGCTCTCCCATCTTAGTCTTAAATTCAGACTGTAATGTTTTGGAATCAATTATACAGTTGTGGATTGGATGAGTAACTTTCTCCATGTTAGGATAAAAAGGGTGAGGGTTAGTGATGCTCTGTCTTCGTGGGTACCTGTAAAAAGTGGAGCTCAGCAAGATACAATCCTCGGTTCTCTTCTCTTTTTACTTTATGTAAATTAATTACCAACTGTTGCAAAATCATCCGTTCTGCTCTTCTCTGATGACATAAATACTTGGAGACCCATACATAGTATGTCGGACAGAATATCATCACGGGACGATCTTAGCTCGTCCTCTCTCCACTCTCGAAATGCTCTCACATGGCCACACGTATACAGATACTGCTAAGGAAGCCTTACTCACTGCCTTCTCGGGGCATTACTGTTGTTTATAAAAATGGGAGGACGAAAAGCGGATGTCAGGCGATCTAATTGAATTGGTGGACACGAAGAATCCTCCTAGGGGAGTGGGAAGACCCTGATTCCAAACCAGTGGTGCACATGGGTTCCAGTATCCTAAAGGAACAAATGGCCTATGAACCAATCGTTGGTCACCGGCTACGATGGGACTGCATTTCCTGATGTTGCTCCACTGTCTTGTGGATCAGACGTTTAGGTCGGAGGCTCGGGAAGTGATCTACTGAGAAAACCGCCTGCTTCGGTCTGGGTACCCGGGCAATATCACAGCTCACACACAAATCAAGTGACTTGTGTGGCGCATATGTATTCGGTGCCTCCTTTGTACCAATATTTATGTGTTCAAATAAATAAATAAATTTCTGTAAACAGTAACAAAAATTGCTTCTCATTCTTAAAATTTTTGCACGATAAAATACAGCTTCATTCCATATAATTCTTGTATTAGCTCTTTGTTTTCTACATACGATTATTAGTTTGTAGTATAACTAGACTATCATGAAACGTTTAAGTAGTATTGGTAGGTAGAGGCTAAATTGAGTAATTTTGGCTAGGTTTCGTTCTCTGAGCTGGATGGTTCGGTCATGAAAATTTCATTATTCTTCTAAACAACATCATCAGCATAAACTTCTGGTAGAAGTGAGGTGTTCGGATTTTTCCACATATAACTGACAGCCCGACTTCGATTGGTTATTGTTGACCTTAAACCTGTCATTGTTTACTTCTTTATTTTGACTGTATCTCCCATTGATTTGGTTTTCGGTCCTATATTTCTCCATAATCTTCCTGATTGGTTAGTAAAATGGATCGATTTCAATGTGTTTGTTGATTGACCTGAGTGACAAGCTTCTGGAAATTCTCTGGTGCTTTTAGAATTGCCTCGATTCAAGATCTCATCATTTTCCCAGTCAAATATATGTCCACAGTTGTCCACATGCATTGATATAAGTGAGGATATGTTGTGGCGTTTGACCGCTAGTTGACCCTCATGTAGGCGAAAATGAAGAGGGCGTCCGCCTTGTCCGATGTAGTGTTTTTCGCAATTGGAACAATTTATCTTGTAGATGATGTACGGACTTTCTTTTATCATTTCCTCTTTTGGTTTGCATAAGATTGGTTGCCTTGATTTTGTTGGTTTACGTGCTACACCTATTTCAAAAGGTTTCAACAATCGTGATGTGGTTTCTGATATGCCTTTTATGCATGGTAGGATGATCCGTTTGTTGGTTTCTGTACTTGATTTTGCTTCTGTTGGTTTAATATATTATGAAGTTGTGAGAATAGCCGTTCTTTTGAAGGATATGTTTCTTCATTTTTCCAAGCTGCAGTGTGCTTTTGCCGTCTTGAATAAAGTTTGTACGCAGTTGATTTTTCGAGTTTTTGGGCTAAAAACCTCCACTAACCCTAATTTGAACAGTAGGTGACTGCAAGACAACGGCATGACACTGAGTATTTAAATCTAGTTGAGTAGATTAATTATTTCAATAATTGATGATAGAATATAACAAATGAACAGCTTATAGTTGAAGAAAGAGTATTGCTTGAGATTATACAGAAAAAAAGATAATATAAATATGAAGCGAAACGAGATTAAAGTGCGAACATTAGCTTACTCTGTTACATGTTTTAGTTAAATTCCATACTATGGAACTTTTAACTGTCGTATTATTTTCCTTGAAATAATTTGAAGCAAACAAAAGCACAGTAGGCACTCTTGTAACATAATTCGGTAATTCAAATTGTACTGGGATAAGAAACCCGGTTTGACGAAAATCAAGAGCTGATTCATTATCATAATGTAAATCATCAGAACGTATATGAAGAATTCTCTTGGAAGATTCAATCGGTTGAAATTCCCCACCATCTGTCTTTTCATGGTGATCCCAACACCAACTGTCTATTGTAGTAAGTGAAGAGCCCGTATAGAAAACAACCTGAATAGCATAATCACCTGGAAGCATCTCTTCAGCTTTGAAAAAAGCTACATGCAAGTCAGTCTATGTAACAAAACAAAACGACAAAACAATTAACAGACGTGAGTTCACCAGCACATGAATTTAGTGACTTTTTCAGTCAAACCTTGAAACAACAGACTTCAAATGAATGTGACATCAATTAAGGGAAACGAACCAACTGTTGTAAAAAAAAAACTAATGAACACATTCACCAGGCACTTGAGTATGAGCCATAATCTAAGTGTAAAGGCTAATGATACTGCCAAAGCCGAAATGGGTGGAGCGGCGTTCGAATCTGAAACTTGGTGACTGAAAGTCTAATGTCCTAACCACTAAGCCATTACTGAAATCAACCAGCAAAATCCACCGCTCAGTAAAAATTAATGTACTGATGCAGGAAAACGTGACCAATTTCGAGTCTTTCCCAACCATAAATTATGACTGCTTCGCGAATTCCAAGCTCTTTTCGGAACTTTTCAACACATCTAAGGTCAACAACTGTGTTTGGTATTTCTTAGTATCTCTCCACTTATATTTCTACGCATCTGCTTTTATGCTACCTAAGTATTGCCTATCGAGGTAGGCCAGTGAATAACTAGCTAATTACAACACCAATACTAAGTAACATGCTAACGGATTGGAGTGATTTTAACCGTTTATTTTAGATTCTCAAGAAACATTTCGTGAAAATGTTGTTATCACTTACTTTACTAGGTATAAATTCATATAGTTTTGGCTGAATTGTATTTGAGTGAAGTGAAGTCAGTTGAGCATAAACCGGTGTCTTGTAATAAGAGCATGGAAGTAAACAATTAATTCTCCCAAACAATTTAGCACGAAACTGAGAAAATGTTACATTGACTACAGGAGAACCAGTTATATCAACCTAGAGAGGGAAAATAAATGTTAAAACAATAGCTTCATACTGTATTAGCATTCTATGATGTAAAAGATTACAATATTTGGATGCTGACACGAGCAATATACAGACTGAATAAAACCCATGAGTATTTCAATAGCCTTTTTTTCATGAAATATGAATTTGTTGTGGATGCGGAGGAATAGACCAATAATTATCATGTTAAGTCCAATGGTGTCCTTGGACTTTAGATGGACATTTCCTATTGGTCGATATCTGTTCACTTGTTGAATATTGTACAAAATGTTGTTTTCTATTTTATGGTACGATGTGGTATGCTTGATTGGTATATAAATAAAGTATGTTTGAAATATAATGATTCATATCTCAGAGGTTGTGACTTGTGTTCTGGACTCAACTAACTGGGCTAGACAGGGAAGTGGGATCAATCGAGACTCTAGGCCGTCCGTTCGTGTTTACGTGTCACTGTAATCGATCGATAGCACGGGGTAAAAAAAAACGACCGCAACTTAAAACCATAACAGAATTAGGCACATCCGATAGAAAAATATTAATAAATAAAAGCTGATGCATGTGGTGACAAACCTAATTGATAATTTCATATTTTAATGAAGTAGAGACTAATTAAATTTACTTGAGTTAGATGAAGCAAAATCTTCACACAATTTCAAATCTTTCCTGTACATTGAGAAAACAATTAATATTATGATAGATATATTATTTAATGGTAATTTAGCTATTCAGTTAAAAACGTCACAAAGTCAAGGAAAACCTACAAGTACATTTTAACATTGGATGTTATACTGGGGTGTGCGCTACTGGTGTCGACAGATATAAGTAGTATGTATTATCAGTTGGAAGTGAAATGTATGGCGATAGTGAATTAAGAAGACCCAATAGAAGAGGACGAGAACAGAGAATCAATGACGTGGAAACGAAGGAACAATAAAATCCGAGACAATTGATAGATGTTTTGCAGATGAAGTATAACTGAATGGTTTTCAGTTTTTACCACGATATCCTGTACTGTTGTATTAAAACACATTTAGTTGTGTTCTTGTTCACTACAGTACATGTTCGCTAACACGAGTTGATGTTAGTTAGCCACAATAAGTTCGTATAATTCCAAATAAATGTATTTTATGCATTCGTCAATAGAATCTTTATTAGTCAGATTCTAGTACGAAAGCTTAGTGCACTAAGTAACTTGATGCAGATATTGCAGTAGATTTTACTCAAAAATCTAATTGCCCAGAGGGTTGTATCGTCAGAGATAACGGTATTACCATGACATATAAGTCTCAATAATAATCACTCATTGTGGTCATGAACCTTTCACGGTCTTTATAGTAAGTTTTTGCTAATTAGTACCAATCTTTTGTGAGCACATTCAATTAGTTACAATCAACTTTTTCATTAAATTCAATCACAGAAAACAACCGCTTCAGCCACATAAATATCATTCAAGTCAAGAACCGATCTAAGTTAGACAACAATTGAAAACTACGAAGTACTAGATGCTGGCTCGGTGCTTTAGAAGCTAAGCGTTAGTGCGCAAGACCGAAGGTCCTGGGTTTGATTCCCGTGGATGTACACTACTACGATACTAGGGTGAAAGGGCCATTCAGTGCTTCCAAGATTTCAATGTTGATCTAACTTAGATCAGTTCGTTACTTCAATGAAATTCAATAATCTTCACAACTCTACACTGGAAATATAAATATCAATCGGGTGGTCGAACAGTGTTACATATTTTGTACAGATATAACTAGTAATTGAGCTACAGTAACAGTTGTATAGATTGCTTTATCAAGACACGTACATAAATAAAGTTAGAAGAACAAGATTTACAAAATAATATGAATTCACAATATCTCATGGCTTCTCATCAGCTGAAAATGGCCCAAGTTTACATTGGTTAAATTATTATGTAGTGTCTTATATACCGTGATCAATGAAGTCCAGTACGAAGCAATATAGCAAAAAAGAAGAGATGACAATATATTTAATAATATCAATATAAAATTGTGGAGATGGTTACGGTTCATTGAAATCATGAACTGATCAATGTTAGACGACGATTGAAAACCTGAAAGTACTGGACGGCCCTTTCATCCTAGTATGGGACGCCACAGCAGTGCGCATCGACGACACCGCACGCGGGAACGAAAATCAGGATCTTCAGTCTGTTGCACCAACGGCTAATAAGAGTTGAGAGCGATTAGTATTTACATGTTGAAGATAAATTCATGAAAGTGAGAGTGAAGTTATAGTGAGTCAAAAGAAATTGTTAACAAGTGAGTAATAATCAAAACACCCGGTTGACATAAAAATTCAAGTTAACATCGGAAATGAATGCAAAGTATTCACAAATGCGATTACTAGATATATAATGGGTGGTGTACACAACGTGGAAATCACAAAGGAGTCTAAAATAACTAGCAAGCAGGGAACACTACTTTTGTTCCTCTTTGCAAAGACCATTGACATTAAGTGCGGTAAACCTCTCATTGCCATGATAAGATAATCATATTATTTTAACTTTTATTGATTAAATTATCTCTTTATTTTATAGCCTAAAATAACAACAAATTCCACTAACAATTACTTACGACGTTAACTGGATGCTTTGATTATTACCCATTTGCCAACAATTTATTTTCATTTATATTACCATCAATTCAAAAGAATTATAACCAAAAATGAATGGTGGCTAGCAGTGAAATTCAGAACTTGCGTTTCACCCTATTTACTAAAGTTAGCTAGATATACCAATGCCAATTTAAGCTACTTGCAACTGATAAAAAGCTATGAAATATAATAAATTCATGTTACTAACAATATAATTTTATCATTTTCGTTGTAAGTCCCACTGCTAACAACACGATTGTATCTCTTTACCACGTAATATAACACTTAAAGTTACTAATATATTATAAATAAAACATTGTGGAGCGAGATTGTTTATTTTCTATTAAAACTAACTGACTATTTATAGATCGAATGATTCCGAAATTTTTTACTTTAGTCAATCGTGAAGACCATCAAGTACCCAAATCATAAGTTACCATTATGAGGTTGAATATAATGATAACACACAATATTATTGATGTTATTAACACTGAAAAACAAATATCCTTCTATGTTTTATGGTAACGCACCATTATTTCTGAAGGAGTGAATCGTAGTATTTTATCAGAATGTTGATTTACTCCAAACAGTGAAACATCTGGATGCAATGAATAACGTTCGGGATTAAGAAAAGCACAGAATTTAAATATCCCATCTTCTAGATTTGTTTCAACTCGATTGATTTCAGAACTGTTGTCAACACTACGAACAACGATGTATACTTTAAGCTATAAGAATAAAGATGAAAATTCAGCAATTTATTAACGCAATGATTACACACACTTAATAAAATTCTCGTCATACAATTTAAAACATTAATTTACTTTTATCCCTGATATATAATAGGTTACTGTAACTGATTTTCTAAGTACGACCTTATGTACTCAGCTTTAAGTCACACTTCTCGTGAGAAAGGTATTGATGCCGTTTGCCACATTTCCAGAAAATTAAATGTTTTATAAGGCTGATGTGAGAGAAACGAAATTAATTATGTAGGAGTCTACTCAAAGCTTATTTATTTATCAAAACACAAACATAAGCACAGAGGGGCATCAAAATATATATGTCCTACACAAATTAGTTATCACTAAATTTGTGTGTGAGCTAGAGTACTGTCCGGGTGCCCAAACTGAAAAAGTAGTATTTTGAGGGGGCCAGTCACCAAGATTTTGACTCAGATGTCTAGTTCACAAGGCGATGGAGTGACGTCAGATGCAGTCTCGTGGTAGCCGGTGACCAACAATAGAATCATACACCATTTTCTCCCTCAAGATTTTGGAGCCAATGTGCACCATTAGTTTGGAATCACGTTTTCCCTATTTTTTAAGAGGCGGACATTCACTTCTTTTAATTTTGTAAAGAATAGCCTCACCCTCGACCGTACTATGGCATTGGAGAGCTGAGTTCATAAGACACTTTTTAGCAGACAGACCTTTTGAAGAAATATCTCGCAACTAACCATTTACGAAATTAAATCTACTTACGACCACCATTGAATATTTGATAAACACAATTTTTAGTGAACATTGTTTTGCAAAAACAGAAACGGTTTATAAGGCAAACTCAAATAATGTGATGGATTTGATAAGTCAACGAGAGATTAGTTACTTACAAAAAAAATCATAAATGATATGACATGTACTGTAATGAACGAAGATTCGGGTAGGGTAAAGCAGTTTTTATTCAGCAAAATCACAGTATTTGCAAAATATGGAAACAATACATTGAATATATAATTTACATCTTCCTTGACTAGTCTTTTACAAGCTCCATCGTTCTCTCATTCTTGTAACTGTTTCTAATTTGCTTTCTCTTCTCCTCATGTTCCTCTTATGTCAATAGAGATCCTACTTCAAATCCATACAAGTACCATACACCACAGTAGTAATAAGTAAACAATTTAAAAAATTTATCAATAAATTGATCGTATTCTTACTTTTAAATCTGATGATGTATCAGCTGGGATTAAGTTTCCACATACAGAAACCTTGTCAGGAACTAAGTTGGGAAGAGATTCTAGTAAATGATTTAGATTTACTGAATAAGTTTCAAAGAAAGCGTTTTCTACTTCGACCTATGATTGATAGGATTGGAACGAAATACAAATGAAATGGAATACATTTTAATATGATATTAGTATTTCTTTTCTTAAAGACCAACTGAAAACTATAAGAGATATCGTTCACTGTACATGTAAGTTTTTTCTAACCAAGTTACAAGATCTGAAAGGAAAAATCTTTTCCAAATCCTGATATTTCAACCAATAAAACACAGAAAAAATGTTCTGGCAAATGGATTACCAACACCATGACGATATCAGACAATCGATAAACAAGATAGTGTTTAAATGACGTTGGACGAAAACCTTGAATTATACACCTTATCTCTTGATTAACATCGAAATTTGAAACTTGTATAAGAACAGTATGAACTGTTAACACTGTTGGTAACTACCTCCAGAGATTTAAAACTTTTTTTCGAAATATAATAAATCTTACCTAAGCCATGCTTTATTTCGACTAAAACAACAAATGGAAGTAACATAAACAGGGACAAAAAACCATGTGTTAAATTAACTTAGCGCACTCCCAGCACAAGACCGAACTAAAAAACCCGCGTCTTGTAAAGAGCGCCATCTCTTCAGACTATTGAGTGAGAACGCAAATATATGCCTTCCTCTGAATTAAAGTTGATCTGTGACAGAGAGATTCTAGACATATATTACCAGAGTGTTAATGTTTCAAACCCAATCTAGTTGACTTGATATGTCATAGATTCCCCAATGGAATTTAGAGAGCAGATATAGTAAGAAAAAATAAGAGGTTAAACACTTGCTATTCTGTTTCTAAAAAGTGGAACTCTGAGAATATGTGTCAGATAGTACGCGAATTCATCCAAATTATAATAGTTCTCTCATTTCACTAATAACTCCCATACTATGTAGCTACCATTATTTTTACAATTACTTTTCGTACCTATAGCTTATACTATTTCTACTAATAAAACCAGTTTCTATGGTCCATTTCTTCTTCGGACAGTTTATATTTTGTAACACTACACAAGAAGAAACATAATTCTAAACAAAATGTTTAATTAAGCCTCAATGGGAAGATACAAGCAAAACAATATCAAGTGAATTTAAATTCACCCCACTGCACAAGCAAGTGGCTATCAGCACTCAGTAGCTGAGTGGATAACGCGATGGCGTTTGAAGCGAATGGTACTGGGTTCGAGTTCCAGAGTGAACATCAACTCTGAGATGCAGGTACATACAGCTGACGAGTCCCAAGTAGGACGAAACGCGCGTTCTGGATTCTACTGCTAGCTACTATCCATCTTTGCTCATAAAAGCTTGTGAATTAATGCAGTATTGAAGCATACACACAATATGCACATATGCCAATAACAGACTGATCAACTGCAGTCTTAAACCTCAATGGGAAGATACTAGCAAAACAATACCAAGTGAAAATGATTAATTGCAAAGATAATATTAAATTCACAATGTACATAGACTAAAATTGTTATCATTATATTAAGTCAATAATAAGTAATTAAAATATACCTGAAATTTATAGTCCCCTGCAATTACGTGATTCAGTTGATAAAATCCATTACCATCTGTTAATACAGATTGTTGTGATGTATTAGTAGTAATTGTAATCTAGATGTAAAAATTATTCAGACATGGTATAATAAGTTTATGAAATATAATATTGTAAAAACATAAAGATAACTAATGACAATTGTTCTTAAAATTTGAACTCAGCCATTATGGATTGAGACAAGGAATTTAATAGTGCATAGTTTAAAATTGTATAAATATGCATAACAGTGACCGCAATATTTATACTATACGGCAAAAATACAGGTATGGAGAAGTTTATATGCCAATTTTTAAATATTTACAATCACACAATATTGACGTTACCATAATGGTCAAAAACTTTGATATGACTCAAAATAGTTTTCAATGACGCAGGTGTATCTATTCTTTTCTTCCTGCAAATTCTGAACTCCTGAATTTCACATGACCTTTTTTGTCTCTGTTTCAGTAACTTATATTTTCTTCAGCCATATCTTGGACAGTTTCATCTCCCTGTGCTAATGGAGCATGGCAGCCTGAACCGATGAACATACATGCCAGGTCCTACGTTGTAACTGACAGATTGACGTTAATAACCACATAAACGAATGTAACAAAGATTATTGTGCAGTCAACTGTATTATGATTAACTGGTATGAACGATTCCGTGAAAGCGTTTGACAAAAACTATTTCAGAATTAGATAGAATTTAATAGCAAAATGAGAGATTCAAAGTGAAGAATATTACAGTAATTTTGTACGTAACAAACTTTTGAGTTCACGTGAGGAAAAAAAATAGATTTTACATCCTAAACTAAGATTTTTAAATAACCTCATGGTAAGGCAACAAAATAACAGATTTAACAACTACTCTGTTAACTTTTTCATGTAGGAAAATGCAATGGTATTTTTCGAAAAATATAATTTTCCTTGTTTCCAAATCCCACAGTTAAGTGAAGTGAAACAATTTCCTGCTAGTTAGAGTAAGTCCTAACGTGAAGTTTTAAATGAAACCTAAACCGATAAATACAATTTAAACTTCCGAATACAGATTTCTCAATATGTTGAAAATGAATCAAACATCATGACAAGCATTGATCAACATCAGTACTATTGATATCAAACCATGTTCAACATATCTTCACGTGCAACTGTTTCTTTCACATAATAGCCCAAGAATTAACTGTTGTAAACGTAAATATATGGATAAAGAAAAGCGTTGAACAGAAGTTTCTGGATAAACAATTACTACAAACATAGAGTTAAGAAAGTTTCTTTACCTTAGCTGATGATATCGGAACACCGTTCGGCCACGTGATACGTCCTGGATTAAGTTTGAAGCTTTGCAATGTAAACGTATCAGGCCCAAGATCCACATCTGTGTGCTCCATTGCTACCGGGAGGAATTTCGGAGTAAATGAAAAAACGACCCCGGACTTCTTAGGCGTATATAAGGGTACAAGAAGATAACTGCCGCCCGGTAGACGATCAAACGTAAAATAGCCATCTGAGTCTGTTGAAGACTACAATAAAAACGTAATATATTCATAGTCATCATAAGAAGTATGACAATAGAGGATACCAAAACAACTAGTGATCTGGATAACTGTGATGTTTGTTAAACCAAAATACGCAAGGTATCAAAATATGTGTAAACGGACATCTTTACAGACAAACAATTGGTTGGTAGGTCCTCAACTCTCAGAGTGCTGTAACATCTAATTGATGTTAACTCATAACAATGTGATAGTTACTTTGATTTATTGTTGAAACTAGCAACCATTGTAAATAAACTTAATGAAAATGAATAATAAAAGAACTTAAAAAGTATTTTCTAACCTCTTGTATTGTTAAAAATTTATAATGCATTTCACCAAGTGCTTCGACTATATGCGAATATACTGACTTGTCTAGAGTGGTAGAGGATTTCGATAATGTCTTATCTTTATCACATAACAGGAAAACTTTTGCATCGACCAAAGGATTTTTATTGAAGTCTGTCACACGTCCACGGAGAAAATGACCCTAAGTATAGAGAATAAACATATCAGTAATTAACAGTAACAGGAAATAAAGATGTTCATGAATTTGTTTCGTTCTTGCATTTATATTCAACAAAATACTTGATACTAGATAAGACGTATTTAATATCATACTTTTCATCATTTTCACGAGGAAAATAACTTAAAATAATGAATGAAATTATAACAAAATTGTGAGACGTCTCTGAACTCCTAATTATATACTTCCTCAATTGTTAAACACTATCTTCCCATCAATAAGTAATGTAAAAAAGACAGGCATTATTTAGTCGTCATAAGATCTAATCTACTACCAACTAAATAAGCTGAAAAAGAGTTTAAAGTAGTTAAAACTCCAAGCAAGATGAATTTAAAAATCTAACCACGTGAGCAGCATCTAGCAACAATAAAGTTAGTTATTTTTACTTTTTCTCACTTTTTGACATTTATTTAGTTCCCATTATCAATCCTTCCTCATGATTTTTGATAGCCACAAAGGAATTGATCCAATCGAAAATATTAGTGTTTTTAATAATCTGACGCTTAACTAGGGCTCGTTAGGAGCAAATCCTGGGACAAGAGGTTGGTTCCACATCTGATCACAGATGTTTCAACCAAATATTCACTCTCTATCAGTTTCCGAAACTTAGGCACACTTACAGACGGCTGACAAGTAAGATTTCTTTATTTAAGAACTGCAACCGACTCCATAAACCGAGAGGTTTAGTGTATGTAATTAAAAGGTGTACCAAAGACCTATATAAACTTTGGAAACCTCTTTATTCCAATACCTATGGACGTGCGAGAAATGTTTATCAGAGCACCCCATCCTTTCGGATTTTAACTATCTTCATTATGGGTATTTGTTCAAAAAAATGGAAATCTGTAACTCAAGTGGATCCTTACAAGTGTTTGACATAAATAACACATCATGTTTTAGCAACATTCAAATATTGCAATATATGAAGTATAACCTTAGAACAGTGTTAATACAACTAAGGATTTTTTAAAGCCATGTAACACCAAGTTCAAAGGACTTCGTGATTACGAAGGAAAATCTGCGTTACTATTACGATCATGCCTTAAGTGATACATTATACGAGAGTGAAACTTGACAGGCATGTTTTAATGTAACTGCTACTTCAGTGACCTACGGAGTCTTCAACTCTTCATTAAGCAAGTTTCAAATGATTTCACGTTTACCTTTATTACCTAAATACGTCATTTTGTTGGATAAAAAGCCTGTTTTGTTGGTCAGGTATTTCTTCTTCTGATATCTGGTCATTTGGAAGATCAATTAAATAATCCGGTAATGTGAGCTGCAATCACTGGGCTAAGCCATGTCACCTCATATCATTAATAACTCAGCCATGCATCCATTATTTTGACAATCCTCGGAAGTATCTTATTACTAGCCTTTAAATTCAGATGTATAACAATGATGACAGGTGGCATGACTGAAATCTCGCTACATAAGAAAAAAACAAAATTAATCATCCACTTCCAAGTGAATGAGTAAATGCTATCACATTTTTAACGATTATGGCTTTGATTTGCCATGTGCACAATCAGATTATTAAAATGATGGATGGGATTTATATCCTGAGTTATCTCACACTAAATAGTTCGATAAAAATAGATTCTTACAAGTAAAATGATTGGTTCTGGCAAGTTGATACTATCAGACTGGACTTTAATATTGATAGATGCTCTTGTATGATCTTTATCACTACGATCTTGATTGCTGACGGTCAATAAATAGTTACCAGGAGTCACAGGAGATATCATGAAATGACCTTGATTCTGTGTAAAATTATGAAGCATTGGTTTGTGAGAGGTAGGGTCAGTTAATCGAACTGATAAACCAGGTGGCCCGGTCTTCATTCCAGAAGTAGTTACCTAAATAGTTGTTTTTAATGATAAGAGAAACGAGAACTTACCTGCCCGAAAATTGAGAATCCAACTATGCTGAAGTCAAAATCTTTGAAACAAGCCCTCGGATCTTTCTCCAGGTCCAAAAGGTAGCCATCAGACGGTTCAATATGCCAGCCTTTAGGAGTAGTTAACCTAATCCTGTAAACGCCCTCATCATATAACGGAACGGAATAAGCTCCGTTAGGGAGAACATCGGTTACATCTTTTAATGTGCTAGTAGTTTCTGAGAACAGACTTATTTTCAGCTTTCTGAAATCAAGTACAGAATCGGGATGAGCTTCTTTCCATCTTATAAAGCCACCACAGCCGACCACAGTATCTGAGTGTTGCGTTAATATTGTTGTCGGGAAAAACAACAGGGAGACAAACAAAATAACCATTTCTCTTCTGAAATCCTAAAACAAATAATAGGAATAACAATATTGTGGATAGCTTCCATTATTTCTAAGGCTATAATTATATTCAAGCTACGATAATATCAGATGGTTTAAGTATAGTTTATTACTAATTAGTTCATGAAACAATATAATACCTTGAAAAAGATTATGTTAAAGTGAATATAAGGAGCTAAGAAACAGTTTGAAAGGTGAATAATACGTGGGTACTACTGCGACGGTAAAGACAAAAGTGACCCCCAAAATTGATTTCCCTGAGTATAAATGTTATACATCTCACGCGAAAAGCAAGACTAGTGTTTGTCGAGTTTTCGCAGCAAATGCTTGAAGTTTGAAGTTCAAATAACAGTGCAACACTTGTCATATATAACTTAGCACCAAGTGGAGTCTGATTTGTCGATCGTAGAGAAATTCCCAGAAAAGGACCTGACCATCTTGATGGGGGGCCCAGATGGCAGTCGGAATTAACAACACCATGGGATGACATGAACTTGGAGAAAGAAAGAAAGATTTGTAAACTTATGTATCTTCAACAAAACAATTGTAAGTGGCACTACATTACCCCACAGATACATACACTAGGCTACATAGGTCTCACTGGATCACACCACAGAGAACCAGGTCGGTCATATTTGCATAAATGAAAAATTCGGATCTATGGAGGACGTGAGAAAATTGGGGAACTGACAGCTTCAGATTACCGTCTGGTGGCTGCCAAAATGGAACCGAAGCTGAAGAAGCATTGGACAACTGCAGAAACAGCATTAGAAAAATTTTGCACAGCCTTCCTATGAGATAATGATAAACTGAATCAAAGATAGCTCTCAGAAATGGGTTAAACGCCTTACAAGATTCACTCAGAGGGGAAACCACCATGGAGAACAACTGAGGACGGATTTATGAAGCACTAAATTCACTATGCCAAGAGGTTTTGGGCCTCAAGAAGCACTATCATAAAGAATGGATTTTATTGATAACCTGGCAAGATTCAAGAAAGTAAGGACATTATAGCAATTAGCAGCTTGAGTGTTGCCGCTAAAATTATTTGTTTACATGGTAAAATAACATTTCGGCATTATAGTATATGTCAGTTTGTGATGAAAACCGTAATTCTGTTCGTAACCCAATCTTTTAATTCAAACCTATCTCTATTGGATTAGTCTGAAGAATAAAGTGCTCAGACAACGTATAATTGTACCATGCTGCTGTAACGCTGAACTCTTTATTGAACCATCCACAATCAGAACAATCTATAATTATAAATGACGAGACATTCAGAACTGAGTTATTTCCGGATCTACTATTGTTAGATGAGGGAAAACTGTATTTTTTTATCCTATAGGTGATAACTCTAATGAAGCTCTGACTACAATTTTCAGTCATTCACCCTTTAGAATACTAGCTTCTACCACTGAGGCAAGAAGATGGCTCGCTCATATGTTGGTTTAATTAGTCAAAAGCCTCAAATGGCAATTAATTATGCTCAAAATACTTCTAATCAAACAGTACCACAGAGAATAAGAACCCTCATGCGTAAACCTAAACTCGATTTTTTGTATTATCAACAAGATCATCTGAGACCAACGTTTCCAACCAAAACAACACAAGCCTTTACTAACCGTGCTCCGTAGCGCGACACTTGTAAGCAGCAGCACCAAATGTTCAGATGGTTCAAACGGATCTGGACAAAATGGAAGCTTCCGCTTAACAGGCTTCCGTATCTAGTAGCAGAGGATCAGCGATGTATCTGGGTAATAACTTACGTACTTTTAACCAATAAAAGAAAAATAATATAAATCATAGTGAAATACAGTTCTTAAGAATATATCTATTTACCTGTCAAAGACTCCTGCAAAATCTCTTAGATCACCTCAACTGGCAAAAAATTAAAGACCTTGACTACGCGTAAAGAGTAAAAGGCGTCCTCATAATTCATTCTAATGGGTAGAGGTTCATTGGTTTGAGGCTATATTCATCTGGTTTGATTTTGAGTCACCGTACTGATTTCGTGGCTCGCCTGTGAGTTCGCTCCAGCGTATTATTACTCTACTTGAGTGAGAAAGTAAGCACTATATTTACATACTTTAAATGGGGTCTAATACATCTGCTGAGTTTTAAGTGAAATGGTGGACAGTTGAACTGACCGAAAATGCGTTTCAACGTTACGAGTGCAAGGTTTGCAAAAAATGCATTTTTGTCTAATTTAGAGTAACACTTCAGATCACAGGGTACAAAGACTCCTGGATTTTTTTAAATTGTGATACAGTGAGAGGGGATTTACTTAAGTTGAATGCGTACTCTACAACATATTTCAGATGAATTACTTCGTACCTTAAGGTGTTGTAATTAATTCCGCCGTAATTCAACCAAGTTTGAAGATGATTTAGATCCTCTTGAAATAGCAGTTCATCAACTTGTTTAAAGACATTTCGCCGGAATTCAGGTTATCCAAATATAAAGTGAATCAATCTATTATTAGTGAATTGACACCTAACCTTTTGAGCTTATTGATAAGACGTATATGATCGACGCTATCAAACTCTTGTAAGAAGCCAAGGTATATGACATCAAAATTCTTCTTCAAGTGTTGTTGTCCATGTGTCTACCATGGTCAACAGGTTGGTTATTCAGGAGAGACCCTTCCTGAAACCGTGCTGTTAGGATGAAAAGAAGCTTATGGATAACAAGTAATCAAATAGACCACCGTGTATCAAGTACTCCATAGATGTTTAGGGTATTGAAAGAAGTGCTACCTGCATGTAGCTTGAAGGATCGATGTTGAGCTCCTTCGAAAGTTGGTGTGATGTGCGCCAACTTCATATTTTATGGTACAGTGCCTTGGCTTAGCGAATATGAGAACATCACGCCAATAGGTTTTGCCAGGACTGAAGCTTTTTCCTTCGGTATATGAGGATGAACAAAATCTAAGCTATGAGAAGTGTGACTTTTTTAGATGCTGAAATTTCTGATACACCAAGTCAGTGCTCAGGTTCACATTGAGCTGCAGGCGAAGCTACTGTTGATACACTTTGTATGCGACTGCTTGAAAATATAGTCTTGTCAAAATGTCAGTATCGTCACAACCGTTGTTGGTTAGGCCATTGGGAACTAACAACTGGGAAAATTCAGTTTTATATTGCCGATTGGGAGAGGGAAAGATGTTGCAGAATTATGGTCTACTATGATATTAGTACTGCTCTTATAATAAACCTAATCCTAAACTTGTCGATTTGTCATGATATAACTGCCTAATCTATAAGATCTTACGTGGAAGTCACACCATCGACTACACCAACTCACTGTATCGTATCAATTACCAATGCATGATGAGGAACAAGGTTAGGCTAGAGAAAGAACAATATATTTAATATGAATAGAAGATATAAAGTAACACTGAGATGGACCACGTCTGCATGGACGAGCCATGCCACTCGATCAACTCCAGTCCATTCAATTCATTCTCCGCGCCTTCTCCATTGTTAGGTATTTCCCCGAGTTAAATATTGAATATCTATTTTCTGAGTAGTCTCGTGTTCACAGCTTTGTGGATTGTGTGGCTATTGTCCAATGCCACTACACCACCACAACTTAAATCTGAATCTTAGTTTCTGTAATCAATTGGACGTCTTCTCCTTGGGTTCATTGTATGTCTGTTAGACTATGTATTGGATATAGACTCTCTATGATCTCGAATATTCTCATTAGTATTATTATCAACAACTGAAAATGGAACAGACGCACCTGGGTACTGTAACTGTATATGGTCAACATGTCGTTGGTGTACTGAAACCACTGATATCTAGAATTTAAACCACAGATTTAGCAACACCATCCTCCCCCGCGAAATGATGTTGGATCTTCATATCATTAAGTTATAAATAAAATGGCCTCATTTAAAACATATTTCTCACTCTGACAAGAGGATTCACTAAAAAAGACCTTATGATATGAATAAACAACAGTTGATACGAAATCATCCAAATGGTGATCAAACTCTAGCTCATTTAAGACTCGTGCAATGTATAAGACAAGTTTCCCACACGAAATAAATGCATTATGAAGACAAACAATATTTGATATGACATCATAAGGATTTGGTTCTTTTGAAATATTTTTCTCAAATTTATTATGTACGTGATTGAAGAATGATGGATCATTAGAAAAATCAGCATCTGTATACAGTGTATTGAATATGACACAGGTATTCAGTGTTTGACAACGTTTCTACCAGTAACACTTTTTAATATGATTTTTACCCACCGAGAGAAATCAAAAGACAGAGTCGAGGAGATCGGAAGAGTGTATTTGGCGATAACCAAAATATCGGAATTCTCTGATCTAATCTGGCTAGCGATTGCGGTTGATGCTGAGCATGGCGTTACCACACGTGATCTGGTGCGGATGCCTGACCGAGAGCCTTCAGCTAGATGAGTCCACTAAAACATATGGTCAGCATCCAATGTCGCAAACTTAGAGCTATTTATTTTGGGGATTTATTTACCTCTACAGATCACTCCCCCCCTAGTGGGGCAGTGACGACCCTAAGACGTGGCCAGCCAGAAGTTTAAACCCACCGAGTATGTCGTTGGTAAACACTCTTCTGATAGCTTACTAAGTGTAGCAGCGTCTGGTCGTCTTTCCTTACTATATGGGACCGAGGTACAACATAGTAAAAAAAGAAAAAGTTACAACGAAAATTTCGACTCGTAAACTGCATCGTTCTTTTCCAGCCGTCCTGGAAAAGAAAAAAGAAAGTGTAAGTGCATGTCGAAATACACTAGTATGTGCGTAAAAACACAATGTCGGCGAAAAAAAGAATAATATACTCAAGCACACGTAATAGCGTTAAAAAAATGTTTTTTTATGTTGTTTTTTTAAAATAAAAGTATTAATATATATGCATAATAAAATTGTCTTTTTTATAATATTATATATCGTAAAAAGAAAGATCGAGATAATATAAAATGTCGAGTAGTGCCTTACGTGCAGTAGTCGTTTAAATGTTCTGGAAATCTTACTCTTCTTCCAGAACGCGTCGTTTTAGGTTTATTTTCAGATACATTCGGAGTATTGGTTGTGGGTTGAGGAATTATAAATGTAGAAGTCGTGTTGTGCGATTGTACCGAAGGAAAGTCGACGTGAATAGGATTTCCTTCTAAATACGCTGCTTTTGAGCGATTGATGCTGATGCTATCGTTTGTTCCGTTCTTATCGACTATATAGTGTTTAGATTCACGTTGAAGATCTTTGAAAAGTCCTTCGTACTCTGATTCGAATGGTCGTCGATGCGAGTCTCGACGAACGAAAACGTGTGTACTATATCGTAAGTCAGGTTGAACGAAAACATCAGTTGATAGAGGTCGAGTGGAAGTAGGTTTAAGTGTACGCATCGCATTTGTAAGCCTGTTCGTGTAGGAGGTTAGATCCATGTTCATTGAAGAGGATGAAGGATCCACGAATTCTCCTGGAAGTCGAAGCGTCGTTCCATAGACGAGTTGAGCCGCAGTGTATCCAATGTCAGCTTTCACTGCATCGCGAATACCTAATAAGACAAGTGGAAGAGCGTCGGTCCACTGTGAAACGTTTGAAGCTGATAGTGAAGCTTTTATTTATCGGTGAAAACGTTCTACCAACCCGTTTGCTTGTGGATGGTAGGCGGTCGTTCGGAAGCGAGTGATTCCTAAAAGTGTGGTCAGACGACGGAAAAGTTCAGATTCAAACTGACGTCTGCGGTCTGTAGTGATGGTTGAAGGGCAGCCGAAGTTTGCTACCCGTCGTTCGACGAAGGCGCGAGCCACTGTTTCAGCAGTGATGTCCTTGATAGGTACTGCTTCTGTCCATCGAGTGAAACGGTCTACGCATGTTAAGAGGTAAGAGTATCCATTTGAATCTGGTAAAGGTCCTACCAAATCCAGATGAACATGGTCGAAACGAGCATCGGGAGTTTTAAATGAGCCTAAGAGACATTTATTGTGTCTGATGACCCTAGATTTTTGGCAGCTTACACAGGAGCATGCCCACTCCCTCACGTCTTTATTCATGCCAGGCCAGCAAAACCGTTCTGATATAAGCTTGATGGTTGCACGAACACTTGGATGAGAAAGTCTGTGCAATGTATTGAAGACATTGCGTCGATAATGTAAGTAAGGTTTCCTTACCTGTTCCCATCTGTTTGATGCGTAGTTTAAGGGTTGTGGACGATAACTCGTGCTGAAGATCAGTGTCTTCTTTTTGAAGCTGGGCGAGTTTAAGAAGGTCGATTACTTGGAAACTGTTCAAGGAAGTTATGCGAGATAAGGCGTCTGCAACTACATTGTTTGCTCCAGAGATGTGTTGAATATCTGAAGTAAACTGCGAAATGTAGTCCAGTTGTCGAGACTCAGGGGGAGAGTACTTGTCAGAAGGAGAGCTTAGAGAGAAGGTGGGTGGTTTACGGTCAGTGAGAAGAGTGAATTCACGACCTTCGATGTAGTGTTGAAAATGTCGTACAGCACAATACATAGCTAGGAGTTCCCTACAGAATGTGCTGTACCTCGATTCGTGTCTAGCAACCGTCTAGATAAAAATGCCAATGGCTGCCAGGAGTTGTTAACCCATTGTTGTAAGACTCCTCCGATTGCTGAGTCGGATGCGTCTACTGCGATGCTAATGGGTGCTCGGGTGTCCTGATGTGCGAGCATTGTTGCTTTAGCAATCAGTTCCTTAACTGTGGAGAATGCTTTTC